ATTTTCCACCATAATTTGCAAATACATTCATTAAAAATCCTACAATGTGATTTTCTGGAGAAAAAAAAATTTTTTTTCCTCAATTTGTCTGTCATAGTTGATGTGTACCTATGATGAAAATTACAGGCCTCTCTCATCTTTTTAAGTGGGAGAACTTGCACAATTGGTGGCTGACTAAATACTTTTTTCCCCCACTGTAAATATGGAATAATGTTCAAGCACCTATGTCACAAAAAGAACCATCAAGCACAGTGACTCACATATTGTACACAAACACAGCCACTGTTATGTAAATCCGTCACAATTTATAAACTTGCTGTGTACTGCTATCCCTGAATGTGTGTGGTGTGTGTGTGTGTGTGTATGTGTGTGTGTGTGTGTGTGTTGTGCGTGTGTGTGTGTGTGTGTGTGTGTGTGTGTGTGTTGTGTGTGTGTGTGTGTGTTGTGTGTGTGTGTGTGTGTCTGTTGTATTGTCAAATCCTTTTTCAGCCTCCTGTAGGGACATCATCGTCAAATCACATTAATTGTAAGCTCAATGGATGAACACACCCTCTGCAGTCAAAACAAAAGGGCTATTGTAGCAGTCTGGTATTCATTCAAAATACTGCATACACAGAAAGCCCCTTGAAATAATTAAAGGAGTAATCAGCAGAATGCAAAATGAATACTTTGAGTGTGCTTATGCTGCACTTCTCTACCAAAGGGCTGTGATACATTTAGTGGCCTTGTTTGTGTGTGTGTTTGTTTGCAATGCATGTGTTTGTGTGTATATACAGTACCAGTCAAAAGTTTGGACACACCTACTCATTCAAGGGTTTTTCTTTATCTTTACTATTTTCTACATGGTAGAATAATACTGAAGACATCAAAACTATGAAATAACACATATGGAATCATGTAGTAACCAAAAAAGTGTTAAACAAATCAAATATATGTTATATTTTAGATTCTTCAAAGTAGCCACCTTTTGCCTTGATGACAGCTTTGCACACTCTTGGCATTCTCTCAACCAGCTTCATGAGGAATGCTTTTTCAACAGTCTTGAAGGAGTTCCCACATATGCTGAGCACTTGTTGGCTGCTTTTCCTTCACTCTGCGGTCCAACTCATCCCAAACCATCTCATCTCAATATTCCATATGTGTTTTTTCATAGTTTTGATGTCTTCACTATTATTCTACAATGTAGAAAATAGTAAAAATAAAGAAAAACCCTTGAATGAGTAGGTGTTCTAAAACTTTTGACTGGTACTGTATGTGTGCATGCTTCTGTCTGCACACTTCTTACCAGTCCCTCTCCATTCTGCTGCTTTAGAAGGTTACCAGCTAAGGCAGTTCTCCCTCTAACTCTCTGCTCTGAAGCCTCTCTGCAGACCTGTCCCCCCAGGGAGCCCCCTTTAATGAAATAAAGCATTTCCAATGGACAATTAATATTCAAATCGCTGAGGAGAGGACCAAAGTGACTTTCCCTCACCAGTGTCCTCACTCGTCCACCCTACTCCTCCCTCCCTCCCCTCCCCCTCCCTCCCTCCCTCCCTACTTCCTTCCTCCCTCGAGGGACAGCCAGCTCCCTCTCTAAAGTGCACGACACAGGCTCCATCATGTGGAGTTAATAGAGAGAGGATGGTTGGTTTGTTACTGCTACACTGCACCCTGGCGTCCCTGTATTAGAGGTCCCCTTTTTAACCTCCATGGTTCACTGTTTGATGTGCTTCTATAGTTCCTGGGTGTGTTTACTAGACTTTCAGGTGTTGACTCAACATGAAAAGAAGACATGTCCTACTTTTGCTTTTTATCAGACGCATCTTTGGGTGTAAATGTAGTTACAGGATGAATAAGCCTTCTGAGAAGTCTACTGATGTGGAACGACCACTACCAGGAATACAGGTTGTTGTCTGTAAAGCTATTACCTTTTACTGTAGTGGGCTAAATCAGGGTCACACAGAGTGTTTCTTGGTAGTTTTAAACTAATCTACTTTGAAACAAAAGTATACACCTCACACACATGGTTATGGGCTTAAAACAAAGAAGAAACACCTGTACCATGTCAGCAGCATACCACCCTGCATCCCACTGCTGGCTTGCCTCTGAAGCTATGCAGGGTTGGTCCTGAATGAGACCAGATGCTGCTGGAAGTGATGTTGGAGGCCCAGTAGGAGGCACTCTTTTTTGGCACTTTTTTTGGTTTCCCCTTATTCCCCTTTTTTCCCGCCCAACTTTACCCAACTTTTCCCGGGGTTTGTGTAAATGGAAATTTTTTTTCCCCTAAATGGGTTAAAAAAAAAAATTTTAAATTTTTTTTATTTTTTTTATTTTTTTTTTTAAAAAAGGTGAAATTTTTTATTCTTTTTTTTTTTTTTGCTTCCCCCAAAAGGTAAATTTTAAAGGGGGGGGTTTTTTTTTTATTTCGGGAAAAAAAAGGAAAACACAACCGCTTTTTGAAAGCAAAGGGGGTTTTAAAAAGGGGGCCCGCCCAAAAAAACCCTTTGGGCCCCCCCCCCTTTTTTTTCAAGAAAAGGTTTTTTTTGTTAGAAAGCGAAAAATGCCCCCGGGCTTCCTTAAATTTTTTGTGGACCAGTTTCCAATTTCCCAAACCCCCCCCAAAAAAAAAAAAATTCCCAACCCCCATGATAGGGACTTTTTCCCTGTTAGGGTGCGTCTTTGGATGGGACGTTAAATGGGTGTCCTGACTCTCTGTGGTCACTAAAGATCCCATGGCACTGTGTCCTGGCTAAATTCCCAATCTGACCATCATGGCCACCTAATCATTCCCAGCTTCCAATTGGCTCATTCATCCCCTGTCACTATTCCCCAGGTCGTTGCAGTAAATGAGAATGTGTTCTCGGTCAATTTATCTGGTAAAATAAGGGTTAAAAAACAAATATAGAGTTGAAATGTATTCCATTTTGAGTTTGCATCCCAATATTACATTTTATATAAATCACAGAAGACTGAAATATAACAAAACTGTTTGACATAGAAACAACAGATTTTGGCAGGTTTTATGAAATTATGAAAAATATGAATAACATTCCACCCATGGGACCACTAGGTAATTTGACTGCAGGGAAGGGCTACTTGGTTTTCTCGAGTTGCCTGCAGAGGAATATAACTCATGGACTTATAACTATGCAGTTCCTTGTCTTTGATTGACGTAAAGGCTAAGAAGGGGCTTTAACCACCCAGGGCGCTGTCCCACCAGACACACACACTCTCCTGTCCTCCTCCTGTCCTTCCCTCTAAGCTTCCTCTCTCTTCAAACAATTAGGTCTTCTTTTTTCAGTACTAGACTCCCTGTCTTCAAGTCTGGGCATTAACTCAACATAAGCTATTGAAGGTGACATTATCAGGGCTGGCCTTAACTCTGTAAGGGCTGATATAGGATCAGGATTGCAGTCATTGCTAAAACCGATGTATTACTGATCACGATAATGTAGAGATCATGTCCTTGGTTGAAGAACCATTGAAGTCAAAGTACACTAGAAATGTAATCACTTGATATACTTAACTGTGTTTGATGCCATTCTCTCTCTCATAGAGTCAGGTGGTTAACAGGAGCTAGAATGTAAGGAGAGTGGTACATGTGTCCATGGCTTCTCTTCTAAGCTTTATAGGATCAATTGGCATGCTAATACGATGTTTACTAACAGTGTAACGATTCCTTCCTCTGTTGGAGGGCCTTAGTCAAATACACCTAAATGCACAGGGTACACGTGTGTGATGTTCTCATGCGTGGGTTCTAGGGGCACTGAGTCTGTTACCTAGAGGCAGAGTGGTACCTGGTCCTTGGCTTGATCTTGTTAATCTCCTCCGTCTCCGGCACCTCCTGTCTGCTTGAACGTAAAGGCTCAATCGTCTGATGCAATACATGCATCATAATGACGACGTTTTTAGATTCCTCTCTTCTTCTTGTCTGTGTCTTGTGTTTCTCTTAGTCTATAATTTACCAGCTCTTCACTCGTATCTCTATCTTACCACCTTGTTCTTCTCTGCTTCTGCTTCTATGCCGATCTCTCTTTCTTCTCTCTCTCTTTTGTCACCTCTTCAGAGCGCTGGTCTCACCTTTGGCTTGCATCCATTTCGTAACTCTCCCTCTCTCTGTCTCTCTGCTACTGCTCTTCGTCTACTTCTGAAACGAAGGGTTAAGTTTTTGTTATTTTCACCCATGTCATCATGATTACCGCAGTGCGTGACCATGCCTATCACTAATGGCATGACGTTACTTTTCTTTACTGTTCTTTGCATCGTTCTGCCACTGTGAGCATGTTTGTGTTCTAGTCGATACAGCGATCTACTTAACACTCTCTCTCTCATTGTCCTTCTCATCAGCTCGTGCAGTCTCGCTTGAGTTTGTCTCTTCTCTCTCTCTTCATTGTGTTTCGTGTCTTACACCAGGGCTGAGCGATGAAGTCTCTCTCTCTCTCTCTCTCTCTCTCTCTCTCTCTCTCTCTCTCTCTCTCTCTCTCTCTCTCTCTCTCTCTCTCTCTCTCTCTCTCGAACCCTTTGTTAGGGACACAGGGTTCTGTATTACTGTCAGAATTATCACCATCATCACCACTCTTGCGTTATGTTGCCTCAGATACCCTCACAGGACAGGAGGCGTGATGAGGATTTTATAGTGAAGTCATTGTTGTGATGAACAAATAGGCAAAAGTTTGATATTGAGTGCTCTATGCATGGTAAGGTTTGTGCTATTACTTAAAGTTGACATATTATCACATTTACCATTACTGGAATCCCTTATGAGATGCTAAGTCACATCTGCTACACATATGTCAATGTATTCATCTCTCAAAGTATGCATATGAGAAAATACATTTGTCATTGTATTTACCAAGTATGCATGTATAGGTCAATGTACCATTTGTCAATGTATTTGTCATGTATGCCTGGATAAGAAAATACCAACACCTGTTTGATTCAATTTTCTTTATAGGTTGAATATAACTTCCGCAAATACATAGTATTTTTTTTTACAAATATTGTAAGAAAATGAAAGCACTGTTAACATCAACTTTCTTTCCATTTAATAAATATGATTGTAAATGCATAAAACAATTACACACAGCACAGTTAAGGTCAAAACAAAAAACATTGTACACCTAAACTTTTGTATTTTTATATAAAAGCTTTACAGTAATAAAACTCTGTCTACAAAAATAATCTCACTAACTCTATGGGGGGAAGAGAGCGAAGTCATAGTTTAGGGATGAACAAAATCCAGTCCTCGTGAGGCATGAGTGTCTGCTGGTTTCCTTTTAATGCCTTCACACACCTGGATACTGTCCTAAAATGGATACCACACTGCTGGTTTCACTGGTAGAAATCAGACCTTGTTTCAGATGTGAAACAAGGGTTTTACGGTGTCCATATTAGGACTGCTTTAGAAACAAGACATTCAGGCTGTTCAGAACTGGACATGCCATCTCTTGCTCTAACTAGTCTGTCGTTCGTATAGAGCCCAGCCCACACCTTGGGTTCCTGTCCTGTGACATGACAGTATGTTATAACATCCTGTCCTGTGACATCACAATATGTCTTAACATCCCGGGCCAGAGTTTCCCTATGACTCGCCTGTGGAGCTTCAAGGAAGTTTCCACCTGTCCGCCTCCATTTGTGAACCTGAAGGATTCAAAGGCAGAAGGTGCTTAACTTGAGCCAGTGTGGGCCGGTGGAATCCTTCTCAGCTGAATATTGCCTAAGGGGTGGTTCTGAGAGCTCCGCCAATGTTCTATAGGTAAAAATACTTACATGGAGCACGCAAAGCTTGTTATTCGAAGACTTATGTTAAAGAGACCATTCACTCAGAAAAGTCTCTTAAATCCTTTAATGTGATGATAATCAGGAGTAAATTTAGAGTCATATTGCTAGAGTTTCCTGCTGTTCTGCTGGAGTTATATATTCTGTAGTTCAACCAGTCATTTGTGAAAACAATAGCCAAAAGCTGCTACAATGTCATAGTTTTTCATATACATAAAATAATAGCAACTTTATTCTTTAGTCTTTCTGAGTGGAAATAGCCTATGTTCTTGTCAATTTGTAAGTAAAATATACCAAAAAAATTAACAGAAGATTAAATCAGGTTTGTTATTTAAAAAAGTACTAGCATGCAGCCTCAAATATACATGTTTAAACTGGAGGAAGGGCTGTTTTTTTATACTGAAATATCTAAGACGCTTTCTTATGAAACACTATGGGAAGATAGCAATGTAACAATATGAGTTAGTAAATTACATCTGAATTCATACAATACAGTACATTGATGTATCTAGTCCATATCCATCTGAAAAGGCCTCTCTTTTCTAAGGTCATAGACACGAACATTGTCCTGTTTCTTTCTCGATTTACATTCTAGGTTGTGTGTTGGTGGGTGGGTTGTTCGTGTGTGCATGTGTGTGTATACAAGATGTATGCTACATAGTTCAAGTCATTTGGAATATTTTAGCATCACTGTCCAGCTACAGTAGAATAATGGTTATATGAAGCTTCCAAAACTATCAACATTTCCCCTCCATAACTGTCTCTACAGAACGACAAGGACAATAAGAAGTGCCTTCCGAAATTCAATTTCCATCAATCAAACAATCACGTCTGTCAGATTCCACATGTGAAGCACTTCGGGGTTCGACTGCGTCTAACCCTGCTTCTCAAAACAAGTTAACCATCCATGTACCCCATCTTCCCGTACTGTCTGCGCTCCACTTCCTTTGGTTCTTGAAAGGGGGTATAATAAGCTATGGAGATGGAGAATACGGGGCCGAGACTGGGGGACATTAGCCTAAATGTGTCACCAACCTTAACCAGCCTTGAGCTTGACTGGCTGCATTAACTAAATTCCCAAACTAGACTTCCAGTTCTGTTCTGTTCTCCCCATTTCAATGCCCTGGTGTGCCTTGTACTAAAAAGCAGTCCACTCTTTTTTCGCTCTGAACGCTCCACTTGATATTTCATCTTAAAGCAGCTGGATTTCATTTTAACTTTTGCAACCTCCAAATTGGGACCTCAGATAATTTCAGGAAAAAAAGGTTACTTTGAGAAAACGTTGACTGATTTTGGTGCCCCCCAAAGAACTGTCTTTTGCCCATTTCTCTTCTATGAAATCAGGTATAATTAATGCATGGTGTCAGAGGGAACTGAAAAGTTATTTAATCTACATTGGCTTCTCTTGAAGTCCCTATCATGGTAGCAAGCTAGCACCATGGTTCTCAGGCAAGCTATTACATTGGGGAAAAAACAAAGTGTCATACAACTAGTGTTTCTTGTTAAATATAGCTCGTAGTGTAAAGATTAAGAGCAAAGTTCAATAAAATCACCAAATCAAGAGAGACAACCAAACCCTGTATCTGTCTTTGACTTATTACATTGTAAGCAAAAACAAAACATTTCAGTACAAAAGTGTATTGTGCCATAATCAGCTTTCCATGAGACAGCGAACGGAAACAAAATGGTTGTATTAATAATTGATATAGTTTTTCTGTTTAGTTTGGTAATTTGTTATTAAAATACACAAATATCAAACAGACATTCATGATTTACAAAATAAATGTGACTTTAAATTTAATTATATACTTTAAAGTATATTCTTAGGAATAAATAGCGTGCCACCGCTGTTAGCGACACACAGTAGCACAAAAGGATGTAAGACACTTACAGGAAGCTAACCAAAAGAGTGTGGTTTTTTATGTATGTTTTTCTTTAGTTCATGCTGGCTTTCCATTTCTAGTTACATACTTGACTTTGTATAAATACATTTAATCAAAAATTATTTTTTATTGGATAGACATATATTATGTATAAAATAAAAACCTGTATACAGTTTCTTCTGGTTTTCACAGAGCCAGCAAAGTCAGTAAAGTCCAACATGCACAGGTATAAAGCTCAAAACCATTGTGTCTGCTCAAATGGTTAAAAAAGTCCATGACACAGAATGGAGTTGCTGTTTTCGGAGTTGTCCAGAGTTTTTAAATGTTGATGTACGTGGGGAGTTCATTTGAGAACTTGACATGTGCGTGAGGTTTGATGCATCCTTTTAAAGGAGAAAATTATGGGAGACAGAGACATGAGGAAAGATGTCAGAAGACATTCCAGTCAGTATGAGTTAAGTCACATTTCTCCACAATGAATGAGGCTCTTGCTGAAACCTTGAGTGGAATGGGGCTATCAATTTATTAATCAAAACCTTAGTGGAAGTCTCTGTGAATGACACAAAAGCTTAGGTTCACGGCAACCAATCTAGTATGTGAAAGTGATGGAACGAAATGAAATTATATGATAAGAAATTGCAGTAAAATTGAAATGAAATTAGTAGTACTAGACTTAGAAACTATTTTTTTAAAATATATATATAAAGGAAAAATACAAATGTAATAAAAGTGGCGTAGTCACTCACCGATGGGCCGTGTGTTCAACTCGGTGTCCATAAGCTCCGGAGAAGTCACCAGCTCCCTCGGAGTGTTCGGGGACACCAGGGTGCTTTCCGTCAGACTTACTGGACTTGGTATCATTTCTTGTTCTTTTTCGTTCTGCATCTGTGCATAGACGTTGAGGCCTGGGATCTTCCTTGAGGAAAGATTTACAATGAGACGGGGGATAAAGAAGTTCGCCAGGCTAATAAAATGGGAGAGGGATGTTGCATTGCCTGCCTCGGGGACCAAATAATTCTGATACTCCTCTTTACAACCCAATAATGTGTAGCCGCTCCCAGGTGATATACCCAGTTGACTTAATTGTTTTGTTTTGTTGGCTTCCGGCCTTATATATAATTTTGTATATATTTGTATGCAAAAAAAGATTATACTGTATGTCTTTGGAAGTCAGAGGGTCTGGGCAGAGGAGATGTAGTCGTTGTGTGTGTATCTGTAAGTTGTTCGTATGTGTATGTTTGTATTTGCTGTTAAAAAAAAAAAGGGGGAAAAAAATATTATTAAAAAAGGAAGGCAATTACACATTCTACTGTATAAACACATTTATTTTCTAAGACATATGTGTTGTTTCGCTCTCTCTCTCTCTTCTCTTTCTTTCTATAGATCTTGTCTCATTGACCCCTCCTGCCCTTTTCACACAGAACTGTACCTTGGTGGACGGAAATAATTTAACATTTCAGAAAGGTCAACTAGCAAAGCTCAAAGGGCTAAATATTGATAATGCCTGAAGGCTGACTGGCATTTCATTTGCGTACAGAGAGAATGCCTCGACAAAAGGATTCTAAGAACGTTGAGAGAAATGCCATTTCTCCCTTGAAACTGGAGGTGTACGCTATGTTTTCACACAGACGTTTGATAGACAGTATTTTTGTTAAATGCCAAATGTCTAGACACTCAGTAACTCCCATTTGGTTAGTAACTTTCCACCAATGTTCTTTCTGATGTATAACCATAATTATACTGTAGCTCATAGCTCACAATTTGTGTCAGAAGAGGTATTAGACCCTAGTCGAACAGTGAGATCATAGCTCACTCAAAATGTTTCGTCAACACTCATGAACTCTCCCACTTGGTTAGTAACATTCTCCCAACGTCCTGGCAACTTACAACCAGATATGGGTTATAGAGATCATCTCTACAGCATATCATGAGCACTGTACCTTTTGAATTTGTAGACGACAAATATCGCCAAACCCAGAACCACAACCGACAGCAGCATCAGCATGGCCGAGCCGCTGTGGTTCTCACTCGTGTCCACTAGGGGCGCTGTAGAGGTGGGAGACAAGAGTCACACAGTACAGTATACATTGAATTCCAAACAGTTTCTATAGAGAACAAGTAAATCATGCGTTTAAGAAATCAACATGAAAAGTGACACCTACTAATTCATAAAATACAAAATATAACAAAATAATTAATAAAAAAATATGAAATTGCATTGTGATTAAGTTTTTCATACGGTAAGTATTTATTGACTTCTCTTACTCTTTATCTTATAAGCCCCTAGGACAGTAGCAGCATCCCCAAAAGGAAGAGGCACACACACTTGTAACGATGCTCACTCTCTGAATGTCTCTGTGTAGCTACATGATGGGAGCCAATCAGACAACAGGGTTGGGGGGTGTTAGTTAGTGCTGATCTAGGATCAGGTCCTTCCTTTCCATATAATCTTATTTGTTATGATCTAAAAGGCAAAACTGATCCTAGATCAGCAGTCCTATTCTGAGACACTTATTGAATACAGGCCCTGGCTCTCTATTTCTATCTAGAACTATCTCTATCTATCTACATACTCATTAAAAATACCCTGTTATCCTCAATACACCTAGCAAACACAACCAAAATGTAGGTATTTGTTTTCGAAGAGATGCAGACACTTACCTGCTGACAAATGTGCAGCATATACTGTGACCTGGACCCCAGGCCGAAGGGTGAACTGGACCAGGTTTTGGTTGAGGGCGCTAAGCAAGATTTCAGAGAGCTAGAGAGGGAGAGACAAACACGACAAAAAACATTAATTTAAAAAAGTATATGCGCATCGATTGACATAATTAAAGTATTAAGATTTCTAAATCAACTTATTGGAACTTTTTATAGCAGAGATCTATGAGAGTACATTTACATTTAGCTTCTTATCCAGAGCAACTAGGGTCAAGTGCCTTGCTCAAGGGCACATCAACAGATGTTTCACCTAGTCGGCTCGGGGATTTGAACCAGCAACCTTTCGGTTACTGTCCCAACGCTTTTAACCGCTAGTCTATAGATCAACACTAAATCAAATCCAACTGTATCTAAACTGCATAAAACATCTCAAAACACTTCACCGTATAAGAGACAGAATAAAGACATCTGGCAGTATCATTAAATAGTATAACTAATGGAATAGACAACAGGTGGAAATTATAGGCAATTAGCAAGACACCCCCAATAAAGGAGTGGTTCTGCAGGTGGTGACCACAGACCACTTCTCAGTTCCTATGCTTCCTGGCTGATGTTTTGGTCACTTTTGAATGCTGGCGGTGCTTTCACTCTAGTGGTAGCATGAGACGGAGTCTACAACCCACACAAGTGGCTCAGGTAGTGCAGCTCATCCAGGATGGCACATCAATGCGAGCTGTGGCAAGAAGGTTTGCTGTGTCTGTCAGCGTAGTGTCCAGAACATGGAGGCGCTACCAGGAGACAGGCCAGTACATCAGGAGACGTGGAGGAGGCCGTAGGAGGGCAACAACCCAGCAGCAGGACCGCTACCTCCGCCTTTGTGCAAGGAGGAGCAGGAGGAGCACTGCCAGAGCCCTGCAAAATGACCTCCAGCAGGCCACAAATGTGCATGTGTCTGCTCAAACGGTCAGAAACAGACTCCATGAGGGTGGTATGAGGGCCCGACGTCCACATGTGGGGGTTGTGCTTACAGCCCAACACCGTGCAGGACGTTTGGCATTTGCCAGAGAACACCTAGATTGGCAAATTCGCCACTGGCGACCTGTGCTCTTCACAGATGAAAGCAGGTTCACACTGAGCACATGTGACAGATGTGACAGAGTCTGGAGACGCCGTGGAGAACGTTCTGCTGCCTGCAACATCCTCCAGCATGACCGGTTTGGCGGTGGGTCAGTCATGGTGTGGGGGTGGCATTTCTTTGGGGGGCCGCACAGCCCTCCATGTGCTCGCCAGAGGTAGCCTGACTGCCATTAGGTACCGAGATGAGATCCTCAGACCCCTTGTGAGACCATATGCTGGTGCGGTTGGCCCTGGGTTCCTCCTAATGCAAGACAATGCTAGACCTCATGTGGCTGGAGTGTGTCAGCAGTTCCTGCAAGAGGAAGGCATTGATGCTATGGACTGGCCCGCCCGTTCCCCAGACCTGAATCCAATTGAGCACATCTGAGACATCATGTCTCGCTCCATCCACCAACGCCACGTTGCACCACAGACTGTCCAGGAGTTGGCGGATGCTTTAGTCCAGGTCTGGGAGGAGATCCCTCAGGAGACCATCCGCCACCTCATCAGGAGCATGCCCAGGCGTTGTAGGGAGGTCATACAGGCACGTGGAGGCCACACACACTACTGAGCCTCATTTTGACTTGTTTTAAGGACATTACATCAAAGTTGGATCAGCCTGTAGTGTGGTTTTCCACTTTAATTTTGAGTGTGACTCCAAATCCAGACCTCCATGGGCTGGTAAATTTGATTTCCATTGATTATTGTTGTGTGATTTTGTTGTCAGCACATTCAACTATGTAAAGAAAAAATTATTTAATAAGATTATTTCATTCATTCAGATCTAGGATGTGTTATTTTAGTGTTCCCTTTATTGTTTTCAGCAGTGTATAACCACTCTAGTCACATTATTGGTTCGTCTCAGAATGAGTTTCTTCTCATGCATACCATGCTGAGGCAGATCTTTCCACCACATACTTACTGATACCCACAACCAATGGCTGATACTACACACCCCACGGCTCACTGAAACCTTAGTTAATTCACTGCACCCTCCCTCCACCCAGAAACCCAGTTAAAGTGAAATATCTATGGATGAATCCGTGCAGGTTCTCACCAATTTAATACATAATGTAGAGCCTATTTGATGAAAAACCTTGCTTTTACTCCGGTTTTTAGAGCGACAAGTAACCTTTTGCACCGAGAACGTGCAGTTTGGACATAAATCAGATGTATCACCCTGACCTAGAGGCTGCAGCTGGAATACAGTGTTACATTTCATGATGCTTCCAATCTAGTCCGGGCATAATCCCCTGAACTATACTGTCCATATGATATCAATCACACAAATTATGATTTGTACCAATTATAAATCTAAACTGTAACACATTAGGTCAGATATGTCATTTAACAAAGTTGTATCCTTTTGACTTTGCATTCGGGCCAAAGACTAAAACAGAGAATATGTATGCACTTCATGCATAGAAAGACCCTGGCTAAACAAATTCCCTTTTCCCTGCGGAATCCATTTTATTTCTTTGCTAGGCTTCATTAATTTTATCTGCCTCATTTACCAAATGAATTGTGATATGAGTAGTTTCTCCCAGTCCTTCACATTCCTTCCCGCTTTTATATTTCTTACCAAGTTTAAAATTAGACTATAGCTATGAATAATTACTTTTTCGCGGTCACTAAATCTATTATACATTCCAATAAGCACACCCGTACATTAGACTTTCAAGATGCAAACCTTGAATAAAGATGTATTGGCGGGGCTTGAGTGAGAAGGGTCTTGCCATACCCAGGCAATAAGGCAGATTTGAGGAGGGGAAAATACAATTAATTTCTTCCTGGTTCTATTCTATTCAGATATTTTTAATGATCATCCATTATCTCTTATATGGGCCTTGGAGCTAATTCAGTACATCTTGATACCTGCAGGTGATTCAGAAGCCAGTATCAGCAGAGACACTATCTTTGTCTGGGTTTATTCCTGTGAAAGACTGCAACTCCGCCCCCTCACATAGAGATGACTCGGGGTAATCTACAGTAAAGCCGTCCCCAGTGAGGACTTTTGAAAGCTTGTCACACTTATTGATGAGGCTAGTTGATATTCTGTGTGTGTGTGTGTGTGTGTGTGTGTGTGTGTGTGTGTGTGTGTGTGTGTGTGTGTGTGTGTGTGTGTGTGTGTGTGTGTGTGTGTGTGTGTGTGTGTGTGTGTGTGTGTGTGTGTGTGTGTGTGCGCGCACGTGCGAGTGGGGGCGCGTGTGTGTGCGCGCACGCATGTGTAAGCCTCTGTGGACAATATTGACATCTACTGGAGAAACGATGAACTCAGCATGTTTTCAGACCATGTAGCAGTATAGACTAACACAGCTATGTATTAGTGAAGAATGTTAGAAAAATGAATATTTCTAAGCCTACTCATGTTTAGTTCAGTGGAGACCTCTAAATTATGCCAAATGGAATGACAAGAAAATCAACAGATGGCGAACATGTTGGTGCAAGAAAACAAGTGCTTAGCTGTCAAACCCAAACATCCAACAAGCAGAGTAATATCCTCCTAAAATATAGCTCCAAATGTCATTCAGTGATAATTCAGAGTAAGTACAGTATATGCCAAAATAACTCATAAAAGTATGCTCCTACTCCCAACTCAAACATCTGGCATTAATCAATATAGGAACTTAATGCATTCAATTTTATGGTTTACTTTTATGGAAATAATGGAAACTTAGTTGTCAGATACCCATTTTGGTAATAATTAACTGACAGGTATAATGCTTTTTTAACCTGTTATAAGCATGAATAAGCCTTTATATCATGCATTTGAATAAGGCTAAGGCCAATAATATGTTATGTCTATGTTTCAACTGACACAACATGCCTGTTATTTAATCAATCATACCTGGTCTAAATGAGCTGAGTTCTTCTCTGGCTTGCCCTCCGTTAACTCTTTGTCTGGCAGGATGAAAAACTCTGCTGCCGTGGGCAACCCAGGTAGGACGGTGACAAGGAGCCGCTCCGGGCTCATCCCCGTGGCCTAGAGGAAGATGAGGAGGAGGGAGAGGAAGAAGAGAGAGATGAGAAGGGAGAGGGGTAGGATGAGGAAGAGGAGTTGGGAGAGGAAGGGGAATAGGAAAAGGAGGGAGGGGAAGAAGAGGAGGAGGAGGGAGATGGAGAGGGAGAGGAGGAAGATGAAGAGGAAAGGGAAGAATAACAGAAAGAATTCCCCATCAACCATTAGGACTAGACTAGATCGCTTTTCATGTCATTAAGCACATCATCAAAGAGGAAAGCAGTGGCATTGAAAAATAGGAATTGTCTGGATGGTTGTAATTAGTGTGACTGCGATACATTGCTGAAATACTTACTGTGATACATTATTACAAACATCAATGAGACTTAGATCTGAAATTATCATACTACTCAGGTCCGGAGCTGTTTGAATCAAATATTTCCGTTCTCAAATATACTGAATAGTATGAGCAATTCAATACATTTTGTGGATACTACAATGTCTACCCAACATGTCATGTGTGGATTTGAAGTACACTATATATATAAAAGTATGTGGACACCCCTTAAAATTAGTGGATTAGGCTATTTCAGCCACACCTGTTGCAGACAGGTGTATAAAATTGAGCATACAGCCGTGCAATCTTCATAAACAAACATTGGCAGTAGAATGGCCTTACTGAAGAGCTCAGTGACTTTCAACGTGGCAACGTCATAGGATCCCACCTTTCCAACAAGTCAGTTCGTCAAATTTATGCCCTGCTAAAGCTGCCCTGGTCAACTGTAAGTGCTGTTATTGTTAAGTGGAAACTTCTAGGAGCAACAACGGATCAGTCGCGAAGTGGTAGGCCACACAAGCTCACAGAATATGACCGGTGTGTGCTGAAGCACGTAGCGCGTATAAATCGTCTGTCCTCGGCTACAACAGTCACTACAGAGTTCCAAACTGCCTCTGGAAGCAACGTCAGCACAAGAACTGTTCGTCAGGAGCTTCATGAAATGGGTTTCCATGGCCGAGCAGCATCAGCTGGAGGGGTGTAAAGCTCGCTGCCATTGGACTCTGGAGCAGTGGAAAAGTGTTCTCTGGAGTGATGAATCACACTTCACCATCTGGCAGTCCAACGGACGACTCTGGGTTTGGCGGATGCCAGGAGAACGCTTCGTGCCCCAATACATAGTGCCAACTGTAAAGTTTGGTGGAGGAGGAATAATGGTCTGGGGCTGTTTTTCATGGTTCGGGCTAGGCCCCTTAGCTCCAGTGAAGGGAAATCTTAATGCTACAGCATACAATGACATTCTAGACGATTCTGTGCTTCCAACTTTGTGGCAACAGTTTGGGGAACGCCCTTTCCTGTTTCAGCATGACAATGCCCCCGTGCACAAAGCGAGGTCCATATAGAAATGGTTTGTCGAGATCGGTGTGGAAGAACTTGACTGGCCTGCACAGAGCCCTGACCTCAACCCCATCAAACACCTTTGGGATGAATTGGAACGCTGACTGCGAGCCAGGCCTAATCGCCCAAAATCAGTGCCTGACCTCACTAATGCTCTTGTGGCTGAATGGAAGCAAGTCCCTGCAGCAATGTTCCAACATCTAGTGGAAAGCCTTCCCAGAAGAGTGGAGGCTGTTATAGCAGCAAAGGGGGGACCAACTCCATATTAATGCCCATGATTTTGGAATATGACGTTTGGCGAGAAGGTGTCCACATACTTTTGTTAATGTAGTGTATGTCCCTCACACTGACGGTTGAGTACATTCGGAGCTACAGTCCAGCTGGGTCTAACTTCACTAAACCATGACAATCAGACGTTCAGTGAGATTTATTTGTACATGTATGGCCTCCACAAATACGACCCTGAACTCACAGGCGACCAGCAATTCCAGAGTTCAATGTGACAGGGAAGGCAGTGCAACAGCAATTTAGAATGTACTTGAAGTAATTTTCCCTTGTCATTTAACATCATAAACCGTAGATTCATCTCAGTCGCAACCTGAGGTCACAGAGGATGTATTGTAAAGAGGGCCACAGACTAAATACACTGAACCAAAATATAAACGTGTTGGTCTCATGTTTCATGAGCTGAAATAAAAAATCCCAGACATTTTCCATATGCACAAAAATCTTATTTCTCTCAACTTTTGTGCACAAATGTGTTTACGTCCCTGTTAGTGCTCCTTTGCTACAATAATCCATTGACCTGACAGGTGTGGCATATCAAGAAGCTGATTAAACAGCATGATCATTACACAGGTGCACCTTGTGCTGGGGACAATAAGAGACCACTTTAAAATGTGCAGTTTTGTCACACAACACAATGCCACAGATGTCTCAAGTTCTGAGGGAGCGTGCAATTGGCATGCTGACTGCAGGAATGTCCACCAGAGCTGTTGCAAGAGAATTGAATCTTAATTTCTCTACCATAATCTGCTTCCAACATCGTTTTACAGAATTTGGCAGTAAGTCCAACTGGCCTCACAACCATAGACCAAGTGTAACCACGCCAGCACAGGACCTCCACATCTGACTTCTTTACATGCGGGATCGTTTGAGGTGTGTGTGTGTGGGGGGGAAATAAAGCCATTTTGTGGGGAAAAACTCATTGTGATTGGCTGGTCCTGGCTCCCCAGTGGGTTGGCCTGGCTCCCAAGTGGGTGGGCCTATTCCCTCCCAGCCCCACCCATGGCTGTGCCCCTGCCCAGTCATGTGAAATCCATAGATTAGGGCCTAATTAATTAATTTGAATTGACTGATTTCCTTATATGAACTGTAACTCAGTAAAATCGTTGAAATGGTTGCATGTTGCATTTATATTTCTGCTCAGTATATACTGTGTGTCTGTGTGTGTCTGTGTGTGTGTGTGTATGTGTGTGTGTGTGTGTCTGTGTGTGTCTGTGTGTGTCTGTAATATACAGTTAGATACGAGGACCACTCACCTGAACCATGGTGTTCTTGATGACTCTGCTGACGTCCAGTCTCCATTCGGCCACGTCGGGGTTGTGGTCATCCAGGTTAGATGAGAAGGCTAGTAGATGTGACCTGAAATATTCTACACAGAGAAAAAACTAACAATCAGTGACAAGTGTATGATGATCAGCTGATGACGATGCTTTTCTATTTCTGTCCTATTGCATTGTCTCAAATAACAAATGTGTCAAATTAATGAGTAGTAAACAATTACTTTGAGTCATACTTACTAGCCAACCTCCAGTGCACTAAAATCTACAAAGTCAACTCCTCTAAGTAAACTTCTAGAAACAAACCTCTGGCAGTATACATGGCTGTTTACAACACAAAACAAAACCAAAAAAACAGCGTAGTCATCGTCACCACCACCGTGCTCACTGCTCACCGTGGACAGCGATGGTTTTCCGGTCCTGCAGGATGGCGTTCCCAGCGGACACCTGCACGGTGACAGTGTTGACGCCTTCCCGGGAGAACGTGCACGCCACGCTCCCTTCCAGGGTGATTATCGGCTGCAAAGAGAAAGAGAGGGGAGAGAGAGTAAGAGAGAGAGAGAGAGAGAGAGAGAGAGGGGAAGAGCGAGAGAGCAAGGGGGTTCCCATGGGAGGCCCTTATCAACCTTGTTAACATCTCACACAGACACTATTTACACTACAGAGGTGTCAGCCGGGAGGCAGGCAGGCAGCCACACACATAAACACAACCCACATCACCCCCCAAGGAACCATGATCGCAGCTGTGCTGCATAGAACTGTCCGCGGAGAGTTCCATGTGACACGAACAGGTTTCTCTGTAGTTACTCGCATCTCCATTTGTTCTTGAAATGGCTCAGATATGCTAATTCTGGAACATTTTCTCATGCACTAGCATAGCTAGCAGCTGCATTAGTAGCTAAACTCGTTGCCCAACCAAACAAAACAAATTCTGAATTAAGTCAGACAAATACTGCTCTAATTTGTAAATCTAGCACAAATCTTTCTTCACGTCTCTTTATCTTACAGTGTGAAGGATGAGCATACAATAAAACTACAAGTCCCAGCAGTATTGAAGTATCTTATCTTACCTCACTGTTATTTCCGAACCACCAGATGTAGGTGACTGTTCCCACTTGGCTAGGCCACAGCACAGCGGTGAGGTTGACTTCCTTACTCTTCACCGCCACAAAGGGAGTGGAGAGATGGATATACTCCAGCTGACCTACTCAAAGTCACAAAAATACATGACAGTGAACCCACTGAGACTGACTCCACAAAGTCTTGAGGCCTCTTATAAAATGAAGGGGCGATAAAAAGTGAGTTGTGTTCAGTAACACAATTACATCACAGTCAACCGACTGACTCCACAAAGTTTTGGGGCCTCTTCTGAAATGGATGAAGTTGCATTCAAAATGATCTGCCCTAAAAATGCATCACAGTGAACTGACTAACTACACAAAGTAAGTTTGTAGCCCCTTATGATATGAAGGCACAAAAAATGTAGTTGCATTCATAATATTTGTATACAAATATATACACTGCTCAAAAAAATAAAGGGAACACTAAAATAACACATCCTAGATCTGAATGAATGAAATAATCTTATTAAATATTTTTTTCTTTACATAGTTGAATGTGCTGACAACAAAATCACACAAAAATTATCAATGGAAATCAAATGTATCAACCCATGGAGGTCTGGATTTGGAGTCACCCTCAAAATTAAAGTGGAAAACCACACTACAGGCTGATCCAACTTTGATGTAATGTCCTTAAAACAAGTCAAAATGAGGCTCAGTAGTGTGTGTGGCCTCCACGTGCCTGTATGACCTCCCTACAACGCCTGGGCATGCTCCTGATGAGGTGGCGGATGGTCTCCTGAGGGATCTCCTCCCAGACCTGGACTAAAGCATCCGCCAACTCCTGGACAGTCTGTGGTGCAACGTGGCGTTGGTGGATGGAGCGAGACATGATGTCCCAGATGTGCTCAATTGGATTCAGGTCTGGGGAACGGGCGGGCCAGTCCATAGCATCAATGCCTTCCTCTTGCAGGAACTGCTGACACACTCCAGCCACATGAGGTCTAGCATTGTCTTGCATTAGGAGGAACCCAGGGCCAACCGCACCAGCATATGGTCTCACAAGGGGTCTGAGGATCTCATCTCGGTTCCTAATGGCAGTCAGGCTACCTCTGGCGAGCACATGGAGGGCTGTGCGGCCCCCCAAAGAAATGCCACCCCACACCATGACTGACCCACCGCCAAACCGGTCATGCTGGAGGATGTTGCAGGCAGCAGAACGTTCTCCACGGCGTCTCCAGACTCTGTCACGTCTGTCACGTGCTCAGTGTGAACCTGCTTTCATCTGTGAAGAGCAAAGGGCGCCAGTGGCGAATTTGCCAATCTTGGTGTTCTTTGGAAAATGCCAAACGTCCTGCACAGTGTTGGGCTGTAAGCACAACCCCCACCTGTGGACGTCGGGCCCTCATACCACCCTCATGGAGTCTGTTTCTGACCGTTTGAGCAGACACATGCACATTTGTGGCCTGCTGGAGGTCATTTTGCAGGGCTCTGGCAGTGCTACTCCTGCTCCTCCTTGCACAAAATGCGGAGGTAGCAGTCCTGCTGCTGGGTTGTTGCCCTCCTACGGCCTCCTCCACGTCTCCTGATGTACTGGCCTGTCTCCTGGTAGCGCCTCCATGCTCTGGACACTACGCTGACAGACACAGCAAGCCTTCTTGCCACAGCTCGCATTGATGTGCCATCCTGGATGAGCTGCACTACCTGAGCCACTTGTGTGGGTTGTAGACTCCGTCTCATGCTACCACTAGAGTGAAAGCACCGCCAGCATTCAAAAGTGACCAAAACATCAGCCAGGAAGCATAGGAACTGAGAAGTGGTCTGTGGTCACCACCTGCAAAACCAGTCCTTTATTGGGGGTGTCTTGCTAATTGCCTATAATTTCCACCTGTTGTCTATTCCATTTGCACAACAGCATGTGAAATTTATTGTCAATCAGTGTTGCTTCCTAAGTGGACAGTTTGATTTTACAGAAGTGTGATTGACTTGGAGTTACATTGTGTTGTTTAAGTGTTCCCTTAATTTTTTTGAGCAATGTATTACAGTGAACCGATTGACTCCTTAAAGTTTTGGGGGCTCTAATTAAATTAAGGTAAGCAGAAAACTTCAGAGTATCCGTCTCTGGGCCCCTTATGAATTGAAGGCACATAACAAAAAAAAAGTGAGCTGCATTCAGAGGATCTGGTCCGTTCTGGGACGCTGTGGTCACCATCTGTGTGTTATTTTTCATCCCTGGCACTCCTGAGTCCTGGCTGGTCCCATTTGTAACGGCTGGCACATCAAGATGGACAGATTGCAAGGTCCCACAGCTCCCTGATCAATAAGTCAACTACGTTACATCTGTCACTCACGAAACCACCGGGGGTGGTCAGCCCCGTCATCACAGAGGAGACGGGAATGACTTGCATGTTAGAGTTAGAGTGGAGGTACCCTGAAGAGCTATTATATAGAGAAAATGACTTCGGCTTGACTGGAATTGTAATGGGATTTAGGCTACCTTCATCTCCACTGATCTCGGACCATGACATATTACACAAGCAGATAAGAAATGTAATGTTCTATGCCAGTTTCCCAACCCTGGTCCTCGAGTACCCCCAACAGAAAACATTTGTATTGTAACCCTGGACAAGCACACCTGATTCAATTAGTCAACTAATCATCAAGCCCTCAATGAGTTGAATGAGGTGTGTTTGTCCAGGGCTACAATGTAAATGTGTACTGTTGGGGGTACTCCAGGGTTGGGAAACACTTTTCTATGCAAGTAAAACAAAAACAACACTTGCTGTAAATGTTTGCAAAGGAACAATTTTGTGTGTTAGAATTGTATGTCTTCTATCTCAAGGCCATCAGACTGTTAAATAGCCTTCACTAGCCGGCTACCACCCGGTTACTCAAACCTGCACCTTAGAGGCTGCTGCCCTATATACATAGACATGGAATCACTGGCCACTTTAATAATGGAACACTAGTCACTTTAATAATGGAACACTAGTCACTTTAATAATGTTTACATACTGCTTTACTCATCTCATATGTCTATACTGTATTCTATTCTACTGTATTTTAGTCAATGCCACTCCGACATTGCTCGTCCTAATATTTATATATTTCTTAATTCCATTCTTTTACTTTTAGATTTGTGTATTGTTGTGAATTGTTAGATACTACTGCAATGTTGGAGCTAGGAACACAAGCATTTCGCTACACCCGCAATAACATCTGCTAAATATGTGTATGTGATCAATAACATTTCATTTGATTTGATTGTATAACTACCTCACTCATATGTCTGTAGATTACGGGCTACACTGAAGTAAGGTAAGTTAAGGTATTTAACTACACTCACATGTTAAAGGTTGAAGACCAAACATGAAGCATGGAGGTTGAGGACCATGATTTGGTCACAGTGAGAGACAGACTCACATGTGACATGGAGGTAGAGCACCACGCTCTCCGACCCCAGGCTGTTCTCTCCTGTAGCGGTCACACGGAAGATCCCCACAGCCTTGTAGATGTGCTTGATCCCATCCTCTATGGAGCTCACGTTGGAGTAGGTCAGAGCGTGACCGTCCCCGAAGTCCACCATGATGCTCGTCCTGGCTCCGTCTCCCTATACAGGAAGTAACAGTCATCAAGGATAGAAAAAAATACGGTATTCTTACACTAGCTACTGTAAGTATGTTTGAAATAATGTTATTTGGTAACACTTTATATGAAGATGTAATGGCATAGTAATAGAATAGAGAGTATTTTGTTGTTATTACAGAAGTGGAGAGTTGACATACATTTTACCATACTGAGTTAAAGTCAGTGCCCGGTCTGAATGAACAGGGAGCCAGTTACTGTATTTCTCCTAAGGAAACACCGCTCACCTCTTCAAGAAACACCAGGAAGGTGACATTGGTGCCCAGCGTAGCTGTCAGCTTTCCTTCACTGGTGACGAGGTGCAGGCCTTTGGGGGCCTGGGTAGGACAGTGCTGCCTCCTGGCCATGTACTCTGCTATCACTCCCGCTGTGCAGTTATTGGACACAACCTTCCTGTAGCTGAATGTACATAGGTCACAACTGCGGTTAGAAGCTTTGCTGATGGATACATGAGCATAGAAAATAACGACCTTTACTTAAGCAGCTTGGCTACTGAGAACATACTCTCTTACAATAATGTCCTGTCATTTGAAATATCCTTATTCCAAGTCTACCTTTGCAGTCAGTTTTAATTAAATAATGAATGAGTGTACATACAGATGTAGGAACTTAATTTGAGCCAGAAAATAATCCTGCAGCAACAGGAAATGTGAATTATCATGTGGATTTTAATTAACCTTTTACTACAGTAGGCTAAATCAGGGTCACACAGAGTCATTATTGGTAGTCTTAAACAAATCTACTTTGAAACAAGAGTATACTCACACACATCTCACACACATGGTTATGTGCTTTAAAAAAAGGAAGGCACCTGTACCATGTCAGATATAGAGTTTAAATGTATTCCATTTTGAGTTTGCATCCCAAAATTACTCTTCATATACATCACAGAAGACTGAAATATACCAAAAATGTTCGACATAGAAACACCAGATTTTTGTTGTTTTTATGAAAAATATTAATAACATTCACCCATGGGACCGAAAACTGAGCTTTTGGTCATTGACTGCAGGAAAAGGCTAATGGACATTTTTGTAAGGCTTGATACATTTTTTGTAAGGGAAAATAACAAACTTCAGAAGCCTTTTTAAACCTCAAATACTCTACAAGTGTTACATTTCCTGCATTGCAGGAAAGTTATTCTGCAACAGGCTGATCAAATTAAGATCCAACATCTGTAAGAGGCTACTGAGAGTGCTGGGGATAATCTGCTTACCCAGTGCTGTTGATGAAAGTAGTCCCTGTGGTACAGCTTCTAGACATGGACGATGGGAGGAACCAAAAGGCGGGGGTGCACTTGCCGTCACTCCGCCTCTCGTAGCCATAGTCACTGTAATGTTTGGATCATACCAAAATAAACAGTCGAGTGAAACGCTACAAAGTAAACTTTTATAAGTGATTCAATTACTGACTCATACTGGTGACCCTGGAGTCAAAATAATTGAAGTATTTCAATGGTAATAAAATGTATAATATTGCCTTTTTAGTTTTTCAAACCCAGCCAATGTTGTTTATGCTACAATTATTGCATTAATACAGTTGAGTGAAATTCTACAAAGTTTGTTTTGATACATTTGATGAATGTGATATAGAGGAATTGTCTTTGAGGGTTTGGGGTGGGACTCTGCACTGGGGCCTGAAAACACATCTCAAACAAACTGATTTGACAAAAAAATGCCTTTTTTTGTTTTCTAAAAACACAGCTCTGTGTTGTTTGTCCTACAATTAAAAGGCAACGTTGCCAGCACGCGCGTCCCCAAAATGATAGGAACAAATTGGCCCAATTAGGCCGACATGCACACAGATGCAGAAATGTTGTGATTGTTAATGAACACTATTAAGCCCGACGATTAATTGTCTCTTACTAAAACGCATTCCAAGTTTACGCCTCACTCAAGGGGCCCACGGATTTGGGAATTGACAAAAGCAACATTAATAATACTGATAGATCATTCAAAGAAATGGATTGTGAAGTTTGTAGCAAATATGCTTTGGAAATGTGTCGTTGATGAACAGAGAGTCACTGGCAAAAGCTGAAAGCCACAAAAGCAGTGACAGAGTTGGTTTCTTAAACGTATGACGACATTGTAGGGGAGAGCAATGGCAGACATTCAAGGAGAAAGACACACACACATTCACACGCACCCCCACACACTTCCCTATCCCACTCCCTATCAGCATGCAAACTTGGATCCTGGCAACCCTCCTCTCTCTCTGTACTTTTTCCTTCATTCTTCAACACACACACAGCTTGGAGTGGTGCAGTTGACTGCATTCCATTTAGCCGGGGCAGCCTCCAAGAGAATCCAGCAGCTAAGTCTCCTCTGCAATTCTAATCTGGAGTGAGCTTCACCATGACGGTGATCTCTTATCTTTTCAAACTTCACTTCCAGACCTCTTTTTTTCATCCTCCACTCCATATGCCAGTGGTATATTGATAGGGCGGCTTAGGCAGTAGTTGTAATGCTTAATGTGTTTTTATGTTCGAGTAGTGTGTTGGAGTCTCTCCTCAAGTACCCTCAGCCAGTTCCAGTTATTTGATCTATTTCAGCACTATTCCATTCAAGTAAACCATTAACTTGTGTAATGTTTACTATGTTTATTGTGTGCCAGTTTACTTACATTGTATTTACACTGTACCTACTTATGCATCATTTAGGGGTACTTAATGTGAACGGGGACCCATCTGTCTACTCACCACTCAAAGTCGGCCTCTGTGCAGTCGCAGGGCGCCGAGGTCATCGTCACCGAGTACGTCTTACCCATAACGCACCTGGCTACGGGCTTCAACTTCCTGTAGATTCTTTTCACTCCCATGATGCACGGCTCGCCCTGTGGATATATTTTACGAATTGAAACAAAAAAAACTGAGAAAAAGGGTTGTTTTTGTTATATTTCACCCCATCGTCATCAATAATTTACCGCAGTGCGGTGAACCATATCTGTATCATACTGTGTGTGAAAAGGCATGCCGTTGCTTTTTCCTTTACATGGGATTATTTTGCATCGATGCCCACTGAGGACCATGTTGTGTGGTGTGCTAGCGATAAGCGATGTTAAACTTAAAACACTTCTCTCTCATGTATCCTACACACAAGCTGTTGCAGCTCGCTTGAGTTGGTGGTTCTGCCATTCTCTCTCTCATAGAGTCAGGTGGTTTAACAGGAGGCTAGAGGAGAAGTGTTCCAGAGTATCTCTCTCTCTCTCTCTCTCTCTCTCTCTCTCTCTCTCTCTCTCTCTCTCTCTCTCTCTCTACACACTGAATGTGGGGTTTTTACTTTGCTTGACTACAGTAATCCAGGGAAACTTTCTTAGTCGGTCCAATAGGTGTCAGTAGTGAGATGCTTCCAATCTTAAATCTCCATTTATCAGCAGTAAGAGCTCTATATATCCCTGGTGTTCAACGTGATAACACAAATGGCCTGATTGGGTCCAAATGGTCTTAAAGCCACAATCTGCCATTTCAACACCTTACCCTGCCACTTTGTCTGGCAAGCTGAGGGTAAATATGACAGATATGACAGACTGTTGCTTTAAAAACACACACCACAGCCTTTCCTTTGGACCAGTTCCCAATCTATTCTTGCTGCCCAATGTTTACCTCTATAATTGAATTGGACTGTTGTCCACTTCCATGGCTATATGTTTTGATCATTAGGGCCAACCAATCATATGGGTGTTTGAGTCAATTATGGTAGCTTGGTCAGAATAAAGAAGCACTCTCCGTCTCATCCTTATGTTTGACTCTGGGTCTGTCTAGGCTCTACTTATGAAACACTGCATACATTTGAGCCTGAGCGAATGCTCTACCTCAAATGTATGCAGTGTTTTTTAAGGAGAATTGTAGAGACACATATACATCAGCAAGAATTAGAGGCAGTATGCCTAAGTGCTTTTGGGCCTAAGGGAGAGGAACGTCCGGCACCTGTCCAGCGCACACTCCACAGCTCAACACAAAGCAGAGCGTGGATGTAGGGGAGTGATCAAGCAGTACACTGCATGCCAAAACAGTATTTCATTTGATCAAGGGTCTCAGTCTATCTAGACCTCTCTATCAAGTAAATTATAAGAGATGGGGGTTTGTGGGAATGGTCCCAAAGCACACGTTGTAGTAGTAGGGGTGGCATGTAGCCTAGCGGTTAAGAGCGTTGAGGCAGTAACCGAAAGGTCACTGGTTCGAAGCCCCGAGACGACTAGGTGAACAATCTGCCGATGTGCCCTTGAGCAAGGCACTTAACCTGGATAAGAGAGTTTGACAAAAATTAAAATGTAGCAGTTTAAAGATGCATTATGCAGAATTCACTCCACCGTTTCCTGGTTGCTAAATTTCTAATAGCTGGCCTAATTTTAGTTTATGTGACAAGTATAGTGTAGAGAATCAGTGTACCATCTAAACCCATATGAAATATATTTTGCATAACCAAAAATATTGTATTTTCAGCTGGTGTACAAAATCGTAAGTAAGACGCAAAAACAAAACTTATGAATGGGAAGCATAGAAATAGCGCACATAGAACATGCTTTCAATGAGAATTACAGATCTATAACTCACATTTCTATATGAATTTGGTCAGGTCGCCCAAAAAGTTACATATTGCAGCTTTAACTTAATAACATTTTCCTAACGTTAGACACCTTTTGAAGAAGTCTGAGTGAGTTACAAGTTCTATCCCCATCTTAAAAGTTTGGGTGACACTTCAAAATAGAGGTAAGTGCAAGATATAAAGTGCTCACAACTTCTTGCAATGGAAGTGCTTTGGTCATAAAGCACTGAGAGTGGGGTTGCTAGTATGCTACATGTTGGGAGCTGTCCAAAGCTGTAATGACAAGGCTGAGGTAGGCCTCTGAAGCCAGTTCTTCTGCAGACAGAGTTATGTAGGTGCCATTACCCGGTTGTGTAGGTGCCATGTCTGGTAGTCCCCCTCTGTACATCTCCGGTTGAAGATGGACCTGAAATCAATCTTGACCAGCTGCCACTCTGACCGGTGACTGACGTGGCCAAAGATCCTGCAAACAGCAAAGAACCGTACAGCTGCAGCAGAAAAGGTACACTGGTATCTGGTTGTCAGATAGCAAAGCCACAGCAGCTGTGAACACTGATAGGTACACTACACTGAAACACAGAAGTCTGGTTATAATTATTAGGGTGACAGAAGGTGGCAGAGAGAAAAACACTAGACAAACTAAGGAGTGTCAGGTACAGCACCCATATTAGGAAGTCCCTCAGTTGTCAGACCGAGGAGTCAAGATATTTTCTTTCTTTGACTTGGACGAACATGACAGTTATTACTAAAAGCTTTAGAGAAATGGCATTTGGCAACTAATGGAATGTATACTATGGAATCTAAATTAATCACTTTACAATCACTTTCCCTCAGATTCAACACAAACTTCAACAGACATTTAAGGTTATGACACCACATCAAATGAACATTCACACGTCTCAGATAAAATTACTTCTCCGAGAAAATTGGGTGGGAGTGTTTCTGGAATTTACCTCCTATCTCTGCTAATCATACAACAAATTTATCACAATCAATCCATCAATTAACGGACTGAGGCGCTGGTCCATAACTGTCACTAACTGTAAAATCATTATTCATTGATAAGAAAATGGTCTGAAATGAACTAATGATAAATAATGAGGTGTCCATACACTGAGATGCAGAGAAAACGAGTACAACATAGATTTTTTTCTGTGAAAAGCTGTAGTAGGCTGTCAACAATCTCCTAACAGTATCATATCCCATAGTCCTGTCTGTCTCAGCTGGTTCATAGTAGTGTATAGCACTCTGGGCCTACAGGGAGAAAGTCATTTCTCCTATCTTTTCCTTCCATCTTCCTCTCTCACTGTCTCTCTGTAAGTCCCCCCCCCCCCTCTCTTTCCCTTCATCTGTCTCAGTCTCTCCCCTCAACTCTCTCTCTCCCTACTTCTGTCCTTCCCTCTCCCAGTCTCAGCAGCTGTGGCCTACCCTTCGGTTGCGGTGCTGACTACAAAGTCAACTGTCTGTCCGTCACTCAGTTATGGTGATGACAGGTGTTATAAAACACGGATGTAAGGGCTATGGGAAACCTTATGCCGCAGCCCTCAAGGTTTTACACCAAAAAGTCAAATAAGAGCAGTATCATCTCATGTAGTATAGCTAAGTGGGTCATTCTAGAATGAAAGAAGTTATAGAAAAGACAGAAAACTTCATATGCCATGTTTCTTAAAACGATTGAGTTAATGTTGCTACATAATGCAGCAAGAACTTTTAGAGCCCTACTTTCCTCTTCGGTCCTTTAGACATCGACTATTTTATTTTTGATGATGTTCCTCATGTTCTTCAAATGGAGTGTTCTGCTGTCGCCGGTCTCCCAACACCATTGATGTCTCTGTGATCATAATCCCGAGACAGATGGTTTTGTGAGGCTAGACCTTGAGAGGGATCTATTCAATTCATGTTAGGAAAATGGGCAGTCAGCGCTGTCGTTTCTACCAGGGTTTGGATACGAGCAAACTCCCACACATAATGTTAACACATCTTTCACGGTTACGGTTCATTCAATCTCAATTCATTATGTTAACATATCAAACATACTGTATATCTGCAATCAGACGTGATTTCATTTTACTGTGTGGTGTAGTGGTAGCACCGTCGTCTATACGGACCACATACAGCACACTTTTGGGCCAACGTTTGAATCCTGCATCCACCACTTTCGGCTCTGAGTTTTCCCTTACTGTCTCGCTCTCATTCAAAATTGGGTAAATAAAGTTGACTTACGTCATAATGAGAGTCTCCTCCCCCGGCTCCCCTAGTAACCCGTCCACAAACAGGGGCGACATGGTGAAACTGTATTTATTCCACTGTCTCCCCTCGTCGAAACTCATCCTGTGGGAGGAACCATAGAACTAGAATTAGAACTCCATTAGTGTATTTAACAGCATTATAGTATTTTCTATGGGAGAGACAATAGCAATAGAATAAGAACGTTTTATTTATCCCTTATTTTACCAGGCAAGTTGACTGAGAACATATTCTCATTTACAGTAAAGGGCCTGGGGAATAGTTACAGGAGAGGAGATGAACGAGCCAATTGGAAGCTGGGGATGATTAGGTGGCCATGATGGTATGAGGGTCAGATTGGGAATTTAGCCAGGACACCGGGGTTAACACCCCTACTCTTACAATAAGTGCCATGGGATCTTTAGTGACCACAGATAGTCAGGACACCTGTTTAATGTCCCATCCAAAAGACAGCACCTTACAAAGGGCAATGTCCCCAATCACTGCCCTGGGGCATTGGGATATTTTTTTATACCAGAGGAAAGACTGCCGCCTACTGGCCCTCCAACACCAATTCCAGCAGCATCTGGTCTCCCATCCAGGGACTGACCAGGACCAACACTGCTTAGCTTCAGAGCCAAGCCAGCAGTGGTATACTGCTGGCACACGCCATAACTGACAGAATTAGAACATATTATTGTGTATAATATTACAGTATTTTATACATCTCTATGGGAGAAAACACACATCTTCTCCAGTGTCTTATCAAACTAATAAAAACTATATTAAAATTATTCCACCATGACACAGGATATGATCACTTGCATTCCAAAGGCACTGAAAGGCAAGGCTTACATCAAGTAACGAACAGGGAAAGGTGAAATTGAATGGCAATCGTCAAAGGAGGAGAATATCTCACGGCCTACTGGTTCGGAATTACACTAATAACTTCCTATGTTCTTAGACATACTCATTACGCTATCAGGGTTGTGGGAACGTGAGGATTGAGTCTTCCTTGATAGAGATGGAAGGAGAGGAGAGAGGAGGACGAGAGAGAGAGATGAGGAGAGGGGAGGGACCAGGGTCTGCGCGGGTAGGGAGAGAGGAGAGAGGAGGAGGAGAGGAGAGGAAGAGGCGGAGAGAGAGAGGAGGAGGAGAGAGAGAGAGAGAGAGAGGAGAGAGGAGAGGGAGAGAGAAAGAGGAGAGAGAGAGAGAGAGAGAGAGAGAGAGAGAGAGAGAGGAAGAGAGGGAGAGAGAAATTGAAAGAGAGAGAGAGAGTCGATGCAAACCATGACAAATGATATTTCTCTAATAGAGATTCACCATAGGTGTCGGATGGGGAGTGGAGTGTGTCTTATAGCCACCAGAGCCCCTCCTTGGTCCAGGTAGAGAACACTGTACTCCTCATCAAAGATCTGAAAGACAAAAGGTATAAAGTATAAACTCATCAAATGACTAGCGTTATAGATTACCAAGACCAAGACTTTAATGTTGATGAAAGAGCAACCTAATGAACGAAAGTACACACACATATGCACACACACCCCTTACACACACACCTGAAATTAGTTATGGCTCAAATCAGCAAGATGATAATACATCAGAAACCCCTCCCCCTCCCTCTCTCTCTCCCTCCCTCTCTCTTCCTCAAAACCAAAACACATCACACTCCAATGTGGTCTGACGTTGCCGCGTCAATTCTCTTTTAATTATTTTTCATCTGTGTCCTTTAATTAGACACGAGGCCCCATAAATTGAAATTGCGGCCGTCAAATAAGGGAGGTAGAGGAGAGGTGACAAAGACACCCACCCACAGGCATCGTTGTATGGGCAAAGGCAGGGGGGCTACCGAATAAAATTAGTCTCGAAATCTCATTTGATTATCTGCACTAAATCACAGCGGCGGGCGGAGTGGTGTTGGATTAAACACCATCCTGAGAGGATGATGATGTAGTTGTTGAGATGGTGAGGATCTCTCTCTCTCACACACACACAAACTTTGCTCTTCCTGCTCCTCACCTGTCTCCAGGTGTTGCCGGCATCCGAGGTGATGAACATGCTCACGTTGCTGGTGGTCAACTCCGCTCCGATGGAGCCTGAGGAGAGGGGTGGGGGGAGGTTGGGTGAAGTGATCGGCATGAGAGAGTCCCGTATGACTTTAGCCAAGTGCTAAACTACTGATATCCTTGAGGGTGTGGGGCTGATTTAAATAAAATCCAAAATTCCACAGCTGCCTGATGTACTGTACATTACCTTAATAAAACATTGAAAGTCATACAGGAAGTGTCTTACATTACAGAAGTGATTAATGACATTTCTTCCTGAAGGACGCACAGATTGTATACTAGAGTCAAAGTCAGTCGTGTCCTTTCATACATTGATAACTAAAAAAGGTTTCCGAACTCATCACAGTAATATAGTCCACTTACTGTGCTGTATTAACCATCCAGTCTCCTCTATCATATAAAGACCTCTGCTATCAGACTGTGGCTGTTGAGTCTTCTACTATAATTACCCCCATTTAGTGGCTAATTAGAGTCCGGTGGTTTAACATGAGGCTAGAGGAGAAGTGTTCCAGGGTATAACCCTCAGAGTTTCTCTCTCTCTCTCTCTCTCTCTCTCTCTCTCTCTCTCTCTCTCTCTCTCATCTCTCTCTCTCTCTCTCTCTTCTCTCTCTCTCTCTCTCTCTCTCTCTCTCTCTCTCTCTCTCTCTCTCTCTCTCTCTCTCTCTCTCTCTCTCTCTCTCTCCTCCCTCCTTATTAACACTGTTCCAGGGTGTAACCCCCAGAGCCTCCCTTCCTCCCCCTCTCCATCAATCCCGCCCTCCAAATCATCTCTCTCCACGCTGCATTCTGTATGCCTCTGCTACTGTTCTTTGTTTGACTTATCATTATCTATCCTGATGCCTAGTCACTTTACCCTGCCTTCATGTACATATCTACCTCAAATATCTTATTATTATCTATCCTGATGCCTAGTCACTTTACCCTGCCTTCATGTACCTATCTACCTCAAATACCTTATCATTATCTATCCTGATGCCTAGTCACTTTACCATGCCTACATGTACATATCTACCTCAAATACCTTGTACCTCTGCACATTGATCTGGTACTCCCTGTATATAGCTCCATTCTTGTGTATTTTATTCCTTGTGTTACTATTTTTCTTTTTATTATAATTTTTTTAACTCTGCATCGTTGGGAAGGGCTCGTAAGCAAACATTTAACGGTAAAGTCTACACCCGTTGTATTCGGCGCATTTGACAAATGAAATGTGATTTGATTTAATTTGATTTGATTTGTACACTAGGATTAAGGGCTTTTATCCAGTGTTGAGGTGCAACAGAGCTCTGCTCACTTTCCCTACAGCGTTTTTTTTTTTTTTTTTTTGCTTTAGAGATATATGACCCAGCAAAACACTGTAGGTTACAGTATGGATACAGAGATGTGCAAATACTATGTGTGTGTTTATATGTAAATGACTGGTCCCACAGCTGTTGTTCCAGAGCCATGACTCAGCTAAACACAGTCAGTTACATTATATATATAATATTATATATAATGGATACAGAGATATTCTGTAATAACAATACTACTTGTACTAGCGATAGACGATATACCTTTTGTCATACTATGCCAGTCATACTTCCCTATGAAGTCCTAGCCCTTCAGTTCTCCAGAGACCACATGGCACTGTACAGTAGTAGACTAGTCCCACTCCTGACTCCTACGGTGTGTGGAGATATGTCATAGACTAGTCTAGCCCAGCAGGAATTAAAAGCCCTACAGCTAAAATGGGAAGCCATTCTGAGACTGATGCTGATAGTGACAGACTGCGTCCAAAATGGCACCCTATTCCCTATTTAGTGCATAGCCTCTGGTCAAAAGTAGTGCACTATATTGGGAATAGGGTGATATTTGGGACACAACATAGTCTCTGATCCTCCTGTGGTGTTTGTTTTACTCAAGTAATGGTGGGGAGATGATGAGTGCATCGAGCAGACATGCCCTCCTGTGCCCGGACGCCCGGTAGCCAGCCATAAAGGGCTAAACCGTGATGGTATAGTTTTGTGCACCATTGTGGGTTTCCGGAATGTGGTTTCCTGTGTTTGGCCACACATTTGAGTTGACACAGACATGCTGCCACCTAGGTTCCCGTGGGAGAGAAAAACTGACTGTGGATGGTAGGGCTGGGTGTTTGTAAAAAATAAAAATAAACGATATAACAAAATGTCCCTTTATAGAAACATGTTCAGTTAGGTGGCAAAGGTGTTATTTTAACATTGCGAAACCATATATTTTGTCTCTGTTCATGTGCAAATGGGAGAATGTCATATCTGACTGAAAGAGCCATGTAAAGCCAGTGATAAGCAGTGTGTCATGAAGAGTCAACAGTTACATACAGCACAATATAAAATACAAAAGAAGGGCGCTAGTCAGGCAGTGACTGTAGGAGAATAAGAAAAGGCACTTAAGAGGAACAGAAGGCACTCTGAAGATGCTGTCCCACTCTACAATTCCCAAGTGTAGCACTTAGCTATCTGTATACGACGCACAGTGGTGACAGCGCTGGGACGTCAGTATGGGCCAACAACAAATATTATGCATGGCCGTCCTAAAGTATGCTGGATCAAAAACCTTTCCAGGAAATGCTTTGGGCTGAGTACATCATTTAAATCCAAATATATTTCCAACATTAATGAAACCCCTAAATTGTATAACTGGCAGTGTTTGAAAACTTTAATACAGGCCTATTTGATCTTCCCGGAACGATAAAGTAAGTAAGTTATCTAAATTCAACTCATTAAGTCAAAGAAAACCCTCAAGTATCTGAGCTTCACATTTCGCAATAAACGTAACTTTACAAATCCACACTGTCACTTTAAATAAAATCCCATGTTCACCTACCTGAGGCCACAATGATCCCCGGTGCAGAGTCCTTACTCTCGATATTCCCTGACGTGTAGGGGTTGGCTGACACATGCAGGTGGAGGTGTAGGGAACAGTATGGCTGGGGAGGAAAGACAAACAGAACAGTTAGCCAGACTCATTAACAAAGGAGGGGGAAGATCTGTCAACAGAATAGACCTATCTGTATGTCAACACAAACACTCATTAGAGAAGACCTCCAAGCAAATGGCCATGGAGGTGGGATTTATTGACGCAAGCATGAATGCACGCACACACACACGAACATACGCACGCATGTGCACACACACACAACCCCACCCTATCATAAATCCTCACACAAACACTACTCCCCATTGGCTCCTTCCACCATTCATTTTGATTGGAATAACCTTTAGCTACACAATTCTCATTAGGACACTGCAAATGCCAGTGGTGCGAGCGTGTGTGTTGTGTGTTGTGTGTTGTGTTTTGAGGTTTATTAAAAGGCTGACATTTTCTGACAAATGACTGCATAATACTGGGCGAAGGCGAGGTGCGCTCTCGAATCACTAATTACTTTATCAAAGGGTCATTCTTTGAGGGTGTATTAAGGGAGCTGAAAAGGGGTTATGCTCTACCCCTTGGCTGATTGGGACCTGTATCTATAATATACACTGTAATAAAGCTGACCATTAGAGCAAATACGTGTTACTTTGAGCCTTTTAGACGGCCAGTACGCTTAACTATTAGAAATACACCGGCCTACCGAGTGGCACAGCGGTCTAAGGCACTGCATCGCAGTGCTATAGGCGTCACTACGGATCCGGGTTCGATCCCGGGCTGTGTCGCAGCCGGCCACAACCGGGAGACCCATGAGGCGGCGCACAATTGGCCCAGCGTCGTCCAGGTTAGGGGAGGGTTTGGCCGGCCAGGATGTCCTTGTCGTATCGCACTCTAGTGACTCCTGTGGCGGGCCGGGCGCATGCACGCTGACACAGTCGCCAGTTGGACGGTGTTTCCTCTGACAACATTGGTGCGGCTGGCTTCCAGGTTGAGCGAGCAGTGTGTCAAGAAGCAGTGCAGCTTGGCAGGGTCGTGTTTCGAAGGATGCAAGGCCCTCGACCTTCGCCTCTCCCGAGTCCGTACGGGAGTTGCAGCGATGGGACAAGACTGTAACTACCAATTGGATATCACGACATTGGGAAGAGAAAGAGGTGAAAAATAAATAAGAAAGACACTGAATAAACAATATAGCAAAAATCTCAACTTTGGCCATTGAAAGTAGCTACTAGCTAGCATGAACAATCAACACCCAAGTTTGTGGAGAAACAAAGAAAAGAAAGGCATAGTTTATCTCTCTCTTTATCTCTCTCTTTATCTCTCTCTTTATCTATCTATTTATCTCTCTATTTATCTCTCTCTTTATCTCTCTCTTTATCTCTCTCTCTTTATCTCTCTCTTTCTGACACGTCTCTCTCTAAACGTGAGATCAGTTTATTGGACTGGATCAAAATCAAAATGGCTGACCTTTCAGCTCCGCTAGCTTCCTCGGCTGCCCAACCTCCGGAGCGCTCAGATTTGACGAGCAGTGCTCTTTCAGAGCTCTATCCCCCTTCCTTCACCACCTCAGCACCGCGGCAACGGCCCAGATCAGTCAACTTCTGACAAGGCCCCATTGACAAGTCCAACAGTGTTATGACGTGTGTGTATATCCATGTGTGTATCCATGCGTGTTTGGTACATGCGTGCATCTGTTTGTGTGGTGTGTGTGTATCCGTGTGTGTGTGTTTTTGTGTGTGTGTGTGTGCATGCATGTGTGTGTCCTCACTAGTTCACAGTGGATGCTGTTGCCCCTCAGGTCAGCAATGGGAGCCTGCAGTAGCCTCCAGTCTCTCCCTCTGTTGTAGGTTATATAGGTCTTCACCACGTTGTCCATCTTCTTGTTGGCGAGGAACATCCCTTTTATACCCGCCACCTAGGAGATAGAGATTAGGGAAAACATGTTTGGAAGATGTAATACTTCTATTATACCCTGCTAACAGCACCAAATTGTAGCTTGTCTAATAATGAGTGGTTACTTCAAGGAAGGTTCTAGACCTATTTATAGGGAAATAGTCAGACACACTGTTCTCAACTAAAAGTGGTCTTATGTTATTTTTTGTCTTTTATTAACATAAAAAGTCAAAAGTGTAAGTATGTAATGAACAAAATACGAGACCAGGCTGTCTCATCAAGATAATGGATGAGGGATAAAAATACCTGACTAATATTACGCATTTTCATAGAGTCTAGACAATAAATCAAGTCTTACGTATCTTGTAATACAAACATATATTATATTGTGTTTAGCTAGATGTTATCACGCTTTTATGGTTATAGGATGTTTGTGTGTATCGCCAGAGGGGATCTACTGTGATGTGCATCATAATATATTGTGCTATGCTTAATGCAGGAGATATGATTGCGATACAGATGTAGCATCTTAATTAGACCTATATTGTCACAGCAAAATAATCCTGCAGCAACAGGATTTGAATGTTTAGTCCATAATGTACCTTGATCGGTGGTTAGGCTATTAGCTGGCAAAAAGTAGGCTACATAACCGTGTGTTAGTGCGGGTTTTCAGTGAATTTAAGGAAATCATGAAGCTCATCTGCATTTTCTGCGGTGCGGGAAAATTCTCAGCAAAAAAAGAGACATCTGTATCATAATCATATCTGCTGCATTAAGCAGAGCACAATATATTATGATGCACATTACAGTAGATCCCCTCTGGCGATACACACAAACATCCTATTACCATAAAAGCGTGAGAACATCTCGCTAAAAGCCATATATTACAAAATAAATAAGATGCAATTTATCGTCTATACTCTAGAGACACTCTGTATGTAGTAAGATACATGTCCTAAGTTAATCTGACTTGGGGGATTGGGAAATAACTCTGAATATGAAATTGAGTTGAAGTCCTCACATGCATCAGCCAAGCACTCCCTTCTCGTCAATAATTGACAGATACTTCAATCTCGCCTGGAGCTCAGATTTTAGCATATGCTATGTTTCGGGTCCCCGACCCCAATCAAGGGACTGAATTTGATTCTATCGCCGATCACAAGGCCAAATGAGGGGTTTAGACACGGCTGGTATATCATCAACAGTCTAATTATTTGATTTTCCATGGAGCTGATACCCATTCCATTGATATTTTCTTCCCTGGCAATCTGGTATACAGTGGGCCCCACGTTTGTATCAGGTATGTAAGCTAATATCTGCAGTTATTCATCAAAGGAAATAATGTGCACGTCAGCAGTTTGAAACTGCTTCTGTGTTCATTCCAAAGCGCCTTTGAAAATGGAACAGCAACTCGGTTTACTTCCAAAAGTGACAGGAGATTACTTTATACTCTACACCTCCTGGTCGTCAAACTCCCCCACATTGATCGCTAGTCTATATAACCTAATATTACTGGAGAAGGTAATATAGAGAAAGAACAGGTCTATTTGGGAAGATTGCGTTGAAACGAGGCTGTGTTTGATGGTTATTATTAGTGATATATTCATTCCATCTGTCAACTGTGTCATTGGGAATCATTCAATATCTCAAAGTGCTTGGCGGTTGAACACTTTGAAACTGTATAGTTTGTACTTCTTCCAACTCTGTCTGCATTCGATATTATGCCCCCACAGGGACGCCACACTTCAAAGCCAACTATAGACCTAGGCCTATATACCACTAGAGTATGTGGTATATGTGTTCCACAGCATAGCTCCAGAGGCAACAATTCACTTCCGGTCTCAGGAAAGATGAAGGCAATTGGTATCTCAAGGTTTCACTCTCGTGCAAACCACCTCTGTTTCTAACATTACATACAGTGGGGAAAAAAGTCTTTAGTCAGCCACCAATTGTGCAAGTTCTCCCACTTAAAAAGTTGAGAGAGGCCTGTAATTTTCATCATAGGTACACGTCAACTATGACAGACAATTTATTTGCAAATTATGGTGGAAAATAAGTATTTGGTCAATAACAAAAGTTTCTCAATACTTTGTTATATAACCTTTGTTGGCCATGACACAGGTCAAACGTTTTCTGTAAGTCTTCACAAGGTTTTCACACACTGTTGCTGGTATTTTGGCCCATTCCTCCATGCAGATCTCCTCTAGAGCAGTGATGTTTTGGGGCTGTCGCTGGGCAACACAGACTTTCAACTCCCTCCAAAGATTTTCTATGGGGTTGAGATCTGGAGACTGGCTAGGCCACTCCAGGACCTTGAAATGCTTCTTACGAAGCCGCTCCTTCGTTGCCCGGGCGGTGTGTTTGGGATCATTGTCATGCTGAAAGACCCAGCCACGTTTCATCTTCAATGCCCTTGCTGATGGAAGGAGGTTTTCACTCAATATCTCACGATACATGGCCCCATTCATTCTTTCCTTTACACGGATCAGTCGTCCTGGTCCCTTTGCAGAAAAACAGCCCCAAAGCATGATGTTTCCACCCCCATGCTTCACAGTAGGTATGGTGTTCTTTGGATGCAACTCAGCATTCTTTGTCCTCCAAACACGACGAGTTGAGTTTTTACCAATAAGTTATATTTTGGTTTCATCTGACCATATGACATTCTCCCAATCCTCTTCTGGATCATCCAAATGCACTAGCAAACTTCAGACGGGCCTGGACATGTACTGGCTTAAGCAGGGGGACACGTCTGGCACTGCAGGATTTGAGTCCCTGGTGGCGTAGTGTGTTACTGATGGTAGGCTTTGTTACTTTGGTCCCAGCTCTCTGCAGGTCATTCACTAGGTCCCCCCGTGTGGTTCTGGGATTTTTGCTCACCGTTCTTGTGATCATTTTGACCCCACGGGGTGAGATCTTGCGTGGAGCCCCAGATCGAGAGAGATTATCAGTGGTCTTGTATGTCTTCCATTTCCTAATAATTGCTCCCACAGTTGATTTATTCAAACCAAGCTGCTTACCTATTGCAGATTCAGTCTTCCCAGCCTGGTGCAGGTCTACCATTTTGTTTCTGGTGTCCTTTGACAGCTCTTTGGTCTTGGCCATAGTGGAGTTTGGAGTGTGACTGTTTGAGGTTGTGGACAGGTGTCTTTGATACTGATAACAAGTTCAAACAGGTGCCATTAATACAGGTAACGAGTGGAGGACAGAGGAGCCTCTTAGCCACTCCTTTGTTGCCTTGGCCGTGTGTTTTGGGTCATTGTCATGCTGGAATACCCATCCACGACCCATTTTCAATGCCCTGGCTGAGGGAATGAGGTTCTCACCCAAGATTTGACGGTACATGGCCCTGTCCATCGTCCCTTTGATGCGGAAGTTGTCATGTCCCTTTAGCAGAAAAACACCCCCAAAGCATAATGTTTCCACCTCCATGTTTGACGGTGGGGATGATGTTCTTGGCGTCATAGGCAGCATTCCTCCTCCTCCAAACACGGCGAGTTGAGTTGATGCCAAAAGCTCGATTTTGGTCTCATCTGACCACAACACTTTCACCCAGTTCTCCTCTGAATCATTCAGATGTTCATTGGCAAAGTTCAGAGGGCCCTGTATATGTGCTTTCTTGAGCAGGGGGACCTTGCGGGCGCTGCAGAATTTCAGTCCTTCACGGCATAGTGTGTTTCCAATTGTTTTCTTGGTGACGATGGTCCCAGCTGCCTTGAGATCATTGACAAGATCCTCCCGTGTAGTTCTGGGCTGATTCCTCACTGTTCTCATGATCATTGCAACTCCACGAGGTGAGATCTTGCATGGAGCCCCAGGCCGAGGGAGATTGACAGTTATTTTGGGTTTCTTCCATTTGAGAATAATCGCACCAACTGTTGTCACCTTCTCACCAAGCTGTTTGGCGATGGTCTTGTAACCCATTCCAGCCTTGTGTAGTTCTACAATCTTGTCCCTGACATCCTTGGAGAGCTCTTTGGGAGAGTTTGGAATCTGATTGATTGATTGCTTCTGTGGACAGGTGTCTTTTATACAGGTAACAAGCTGAGATTAGGAGCACTCCCTTTAAGAGTGTGCTCCTAATCTCAGCTCGTTACCTGTATAAAAGACACCTGGGAGCCAGAAATCTTTCTGATTGATACTTATTTCCCTAATTAAAATGCAAATAAATTTATAACATTTTTAAAATGCATTTTTCTGGATTTTTTTGTTGTTATTCTGTCTCTCACTGTTAAAATAAACCTACCATTAAAACTATAGACTGATCATTTCTTTGTCAGTGGGCAAACGTACAAAATCAGCAGGGGATCAATACTTTTTTCCCTCACTGTATTTATATATATATATGATTTACAGTATTTTTATTTTATTGACACAGAGATAGGTAGAGATGAGCAGAGAGACAGAGAGGGAGGAATATTCAGAGAAGCAGTGGAGCCAGGATGACATATGTGCTGCAGGCAGCAGTGTTACCCACTAGACTAGCCTCAGGCACACAAACAGGTAGATCTACCTTATCTCCAGTATATTGACTTTGTACATGTACAGGAGGTCAATCATGGCGCTGTATATTTACCTCATACAGGTCTATCATGACGTTGTATGTTTACCTCATAAAGGTCTATCATGACGTTGCATATTTACCTCATAAAGGTCTATCATGACGTTGTATATTTACCTCATACAGGTCAATCATGGCGCTGTATATTTACCTTATACAGGTCAATCATGGCGCTGTATATTTACCTCATACAGGTCTATCATGACGTTGCCCTCGTGCCCCATGCTGCTGACTACGTTCTCCAGGGCCAGGGTGTAGAAGACCCCTCCAGTCTCTGACACGTACAGGTTGTAGGTGTCGTTCTGGTTCCACTCCTGCACCGCCGCAACCACCCGGTTCTCATCCGTACTGATCACATGCAGGTCCTAGCAGAAAAAGAATGTCAGCGGGTTACATTTGACATTAAGTTGCATATATACTGTTTCATGTAATTGGAACAAATACATACATTTTTAAGGTGCAATTAATTACAGACTAATATACACTGACTGTACAAAACATTAGGATCACCTGCTCTTTCCATGACTAGCTATGATCCCTTGTTGATGTTACTTGTTAAATCCACTTCAATCAGTGTAGATGAAGGGGAGGAGACAGGTTAAAGAAGCATTTTTAAGCATTGAGAGAATTGAGACATGGATTGTGTATGTATGCCATTCAGAGGGTGAATGGGCAAGACAAAATATTTAAGTGCCTTTGAAAGGGGTATGGTAGTAGGTGTAAGGCGCACCAGTTTGAGTGTGTCAAAAACTGCAACGCTGCTGGGTTTTTCACGCTCAACAGTTTCCTGTGTGTATCAAGAATGGTCCACCACCCATAGGATATCCAGCCAACTTGACACAACAGTGGGAATCATTGGAGTCAACATGGGCCAGTATCCTTGTGGAACGCTTTCGACACCTTGTAGAGTCCATGCCGCGACAAATTGAGGCTGTTCTGAGGGCAACTCAATATTATGAAGGTGTTCTTAATGTTTGGTACACTGAGTGTGTATATATATTGGTAACTAATTGAACATTTAAATGAATCATTTTTACAGCATTACAATTCAATAATTAGTTGGTAGCTAACCATTTCAATTAGTGTACATTGGTGACACAATCAGGTTTAATTCATGACATGCAGGCCAACTAATTTCACTTACACAATAGTAATTACAGTGCAATTACACTGGAATGAACAACTTAATGAAGAGAGTATCAAGCAACACAGACTCAAACTCACACCTCCAATTTTAGAACAGAGGTGATGCAGTATGTAACTCTCAAAATGTGTAACTTCCCCCTCCTTTTCACCAGTAATGTAAGACAAAAACAATCTACTGCTTCAGAAGTATAGTACAGTGGAAGTGATCTGATTAAATAAAATGTTGATTTGATACTATATCTAACTACTGTAGCTCCCCCATGGAGATGACAACTTCTGCGAGCATCTACCCACTTAGAATGCATTTTAATTAATCCAGCGCATAATCACAAGAAAATAACATAAATCATAATCGAATCTAACCTCCCCCTTGATTAACCTTAAATAAAATTGACACTTTGAATCAGTTTTGAATTCCATGTAGTCACAATCAACGCCTGCTAATTGTAATATGCCAACGGGTGTATTACAGTGGCCTTTCGAGAACCCCCGTCTACCCAATTTACCCATCCCACCCCTGCTGGGTTTAATCATAAGAATAAATCAGTATCAGACCTCATTCTCACCAACGTAACTCCGGCAAGGAGGATATTACACATATTAACTTGAATTGTGTGCTTGTCGGCCCGCACTAACACAAAGGGACACACGCTGTTCTCGCTAGTGAATTTCATCTACCTCTGACTGCGCCTGCAACATCTCAGTGTGGAGAGAGAGAGAGAGAGAGAGAGAGAGAGAGAGAGAGAGAGAGAGAGAGAGAGAGAGAGAGAGAGAGAGAGAGAGAGAGAGAGAGAGAGAGAGAGAGAGAGAGAATAGGATGGCCCAGGGCTTGATTGAATACAACATGTTTAATTGTCAATGGAGAGGTGGGAAGGGCACAAGAGAGGCCTCAGTTCACTCATAAATAACAAAGAGACGCTGGATAGAAAGCTACCTGTGTTGTTTCCAGTGTTGGTCTCATGATGGCATAGCTTTGAATTCCCATTGAGATTATTATTCTGATGCATTTAAGGTAGGTTGAAACATAGATATATAACCACTGGACCGGAGTCTGGTCAAGTGGGAAACACTCTCACTTCCGGAACCATATATCTGCGGCAGGGATCCCGGTTTGTTCCCGGCATGAGCCCTAAACACTTAGGTTCCCTCTACTGTGTCTTCCTGCTTCTGTTCCCTCTACTGTGTCTCCCTGCTTCTGTTCCCTCTACTGTGTCTCCCTGCTTCTGTTCCCTCTACTGTGTCTCCCTGCTTCTGTTCCCTCTACTGTGTCTCCCTGCTTCTGTTCCCTCTACTGTGTCTCCCTGCTTCTGTTCCCTCTACTGTGTCTCCCTGCTTCTGTTCCCTCTACTGTGTCTCCCTGTCTGTCCCTACGTTCTCCTGCTTCTGTTCCCTCTACTGTGTCTCCCTGCTTCTGTTTCCCTCTACTGTGTCTCCCTGCTTCTGTTCCCTCTACTGTGTCTCCCTGCTTCTGTTCCCTCTACTGTGACTTCCTGCTTCTGTTCCCTCTACTGTGTCTCCCTGCTTCTGTTCCCTCTACTGTGTCTCCCTGCTTCTGTTCCCTCTACTGTGTCTCCCTGCTTCTGTTCCCTCTACTGTGTCTCCCTGCTTCTGTTCCCTCTACTGTGTCTCCCTGCTTCTGTTCCCTCTACTGTGTCTCCCTGCTTCTGTTCCCTCTACTGTGTCTCCCTGCTTCTGTTCCCTCTACTGTGTCTCCCAGCTTCTGTTCCCTCTACTGTGTCTCCCTGCTTCTGTTCCCTCTACTGTGTCTCCCTGCTTCTGTTCCCTCTACTGTGTCTCCCAGCTTCTGTTCCCTCTACTGTGTCTCCCTGCTTCTGTTCCTCTACTGTGTCCTCCCTGCTTCTGTTCCCTCTACTGTGTCTCCCAGCTTCTGTTCCCTCTACTGTGTCTCCCTGCTTTCTGTTCCCTCTACTGTGTCTCCCTGCTTCTGTTCCCTCTACTGTGTCTCCCAGCTTCTGTTCCCTCTACTGTGTCTCCCAGCTTCTGTTCCCTCTACTCTGTCTCCCAGCTTCTGTTCCCTCTACTGTGTCTCCCTGCTTCTGTTCCCTCTACTGTGTCTCCCAGCTTCTGTTCCCTCTACTGTGTCTCCCTGCTTCTGTTCCTATCCTGTCATATAAAATAATACAAAAGAAGTTCAGAATTCCGTTTTTTTCATGACCATGTGGTATTACCACTGGAATGTTGATCGACCATTGCAACAGTATATGACCATTGCATGACCATGTGTGTCTGTGGGTTATACCTTAGGCAAGGTGTACTTGGGTAACTTCATTGGTGTGAAGACTTCCCGCTTGGCTGACACGTAGTAGATTGGACGCCCACCAGTTGACACCTGCAGGTCATGAAACTATTGAATGAAAACCCATTCAAGATATACAACCCATCAAGCATAAGGTACATACTAAACCCTGATTAATATACTGTGTTAAAATACATTTCCAAGGAACTTATTACATGTTCTCTCTCACACACACCTTTGGATTACATCAATAAAACATGTTCAGCAGTAAAACGCATCAATCCCAAAAATACATAACAGCCTTAAAATAAACACTTAAGAGTAATATGATCTTCAACATTTCCGATAATCCTATAACATGTTCTCTCTCACACATACATCTGTTCTGGTTCATGTCCTTCTAACTTCCGGTTCACATCAGATATGGGCAATTACCTACCTGGACAAACACATACTCGTCTTGCACCACAAGGGAATTGGGGTCAATGTAGCCGGGGAACGGCTTGCCTTTATTGGCCTCGGTGCAGTTCTGCAGTTTGCAGGTGACGTACAGCGCCTCTGCACACACGGAAAGAAGAAACCGCAGCCATTGAACCAATGATCATATTAGCCAGTGGGGGACATGTAGCCTTCACCGCGAGCTAGCCTTCCATCAGGTGTCTTACATTAATTGCGTCAATAAAGTGGCGAGCGAAAAGCGAGGGGAAATTGGAGGGTGGACCAGGGAGGCCAATTGCTTTCTTTCCCCTCAATTGTGGTGTGAGGTGGGGACAGAGGTGTGGGACTGGCTGTCCCTGTGTGTTAGGCTTCAGCTAACTATGTTGTCCGGTTCACACAGCGAGCCGCATGATCAATGGGTGATGGACGTACAGGGGCAAGGCTTGCGCTGTCACAAGGGTGTGTTACTGTATCAGGTAGATCCATTAAACTGAATTCTGTTCTGCCAAAACATGGACAGGTGACAATTGTGTTTCCATCCATTCATTGACATTCAGAATGTTGAGTATCAGGATCACTCTGGTTTTAAAGGCATTCTAATATATGCATTGCTTTTCTCAATCGTCATTGTGTGTCTCCCGCGCCGGTGCATTACAACTGCCTCCTCATATTACCCTTCAATCGTGTGGCCCGTAGCCCTTCATACCCCCCCAATCACTTTCCACTTGAGTTCAAGGCTCATGGTACAGTAGAGACACCAGAAAATTGAGGAACAGAGCAGGAACTCTGAAAATTGAATTACTCACGTCCTTCGGAGATGATGGTTTCCAGGTGAACTAAGCCTGGTTCTTTGTCTAAACCCGATTTCGACCTGCAAGGGAGAAGACACATTTATTTCAGGTACATCACTATTCTTTAGCAAGGAAGGACAGAAGGATATCACAGATGCTACCTAGCCTATACCTACCTTCTTATCCCTGAGATTGCTTGTCAGATAAATTCAGAACACTGAGGGGAAATGACAACCAGAATGACGATTGCCAGAAATTTCAAGGGCCCCAGGCTATACCCCTGTGGAACACCTCAAAAGGTTGTACATTGAGGTAAAAAGGAAAACTACCTCAGGTGTAGCGTGTGATGTTACCGTGTTCAAGCCCAAACCTTACGAGACTGCCCTTACTTTCCTGACAGTTTGACAGGGAACGCATCCTGACATCATTAGCGAGAGGGAAAGTAATTGATTTGCTTGCTCAGAACGCCCGCAGACATGGTGCAGCTGCACAAAATCATTACAGGCCTGAAATATTTATTAAAAGGAAATCAGAGGGATGTCTTCATAGAGTAAAGAGACAGCACACAAAGGGCGAGGAGATCAAGCACAGAGCCCACCCCCCGGTCTTAATTATGGCACCTATTGGCAGTATTGGTGATTTCCCAGATAAAACGCATCATCTCTGGAGACTGACCTATTTAACTTCTCTCATTCTCCCTTTTTCTCTATTCAGTTCAAAAACTAAGGGAGAACAAACATTCTTTAAGCTCACCTATTTCAATTCTCATAGACTGTACTAGAGGTGAGTTTGAACCTACAGCATCTACATTGTGGGAACATGTATGGGGCAGTAATAATGATTTGACATTTGATTAGCTGTGATTGTTGTCTCCCTTGAGACTATTGGTTTAAACAGGTAAAAATAAGGAGAAGGATTGTCATGAGATGGAGCTTTTGCCTCACATAAAAAAGGATATGATCTATAGATGTGATCTAGATTCTAGATGAAAATCTGATCACAACTGGCAGGTTGACGTTTTTCGGGACGAGTCTTGTCCTTGATGCAGAACTGAGCGATTTTCACTAGATGGGCCAGCTGCAAAGTCAAAAATGGCTATATTGTAAACATGTATTAGCTCTTTGGTCTGATTTAAGGTTAGGGTTAGGCATCATAGTTAGCAGTGTGGTTTATGTATATGTTAGTGTTAGGTTTAAAATCAGATTTTATGACTTTGTGGCTGTGCTAGCTAGTGACCACTCCACAAAGCTGCCTCCAGAACAAGATACATGACGAAAAACGCTAACCTGCTCACGACTGTGCCTTTTCTTTTCAACTACCATGGTCCGATTCCGAAAGGAAGTTTCCCAAAACCTTATTAACAGGGTTTACACAGTCCTAAAAATAAACCTCACTCACTCAAGCACTGCAGAAGCAAACCCTCTAGGCGTCCTCCTCCCAGAACTGCCTAACTTGTTACCACTGACAGTTTCTCACAAATTTGCTCAAAAGCTTTTTTTATACATCAGTTGTGTTAAAAATGACTTGATTTGACAGTTTGTGTCTGGCAGATGTGGGACCAAATATTAAGTAGAGCAGATGGAGAACAGAGGAGGATAACAAGAAACGAAAACAGTAGAAGGAAGATCAAATCTCAAGAGCATTCTCATGGGGTGGATTTTACTGACACGGTCAAGTAAGGTCATGCTATCGGAGACCTAGGGCTATATGGTTCAAACACAAGTTCAAATCAAACTATAATGCTCTTACTATCAAGTATTATCAAGGACTCCTGTATCCCATGATAGGGGAGTTCATAATAGAGAATTATAAATATATATTTGCAGCATTAATTGTGCAATCCAAATCCATTTATCTCCCTCAATTTAACATTCCAAATGTAACTCCAAAACCTTGGATATAACCTTGCTTTAGGAAAAACATTGAACAGGTCCCTCCTGAGCTCCAACAGGCCCAAGTGAGATCACAAAACTCATCCACAATCCCACTCATGTGTTGACTACTCTGTCTGTTGACATTCCCTTGTTCATTATCCACGCTCGATCAAATGAAGACCACATTGTTAGCTGCATTGCAAATGCTGAAACATTCAGCACAGTGAATTCACTAACAAGCTCTTATGGGTCGCTGCATTCATTAGAAGTCTGAACATCTTTGGAGTGCCAGTACCTCGCTATCTAACGCTGAGAAAGCATAGGTGCAGACACATCAATAATATAATGCAAACAAGACGATTCACTCTGCCATATCTCCATCCATTAAGAATGTGGAAAGACCAACAAGGATTTCAATTTATAGTTAGTCTTGACAGAAGGGAAGACAGGAAGAAGGTTGTAGGTTGCTGTTCTTACCAGTAGAATCGATTGGGGGCCACCCTCTCATGGACAAGTTGCCATCTCCTTCCGAACTCCACCGAGCTGTACAGCTGTGGGGAGAAAGCCGATGGGAATTACATACTCTATTCAGTCAGACAAGACAGGTTAGATTAATACTGTAAAATAATCATTCAACACACAAACCCTAAATGATAGTCCAGATATAATTTACTTTAATTCAAAAAGTTTAGCATTTTCCCATTACATTCATGTCAATGTGATACAATATGAGCATAACTCGTTGTATAATTAGTCCTGTTCACTTCACCAATAATTTCAATGTCATGCAATACTTCTATTTCCATAGGAAGAATTGCTCTCAAGTTAATTTACCTTCTTGAGAAGCTATGTTACCCACATGGCACAAGAGGGCATCAAAAATGTGCCTCAGATGAATCACCAGAACAGGGCTGAAGCTGAGGACACATTCCCCACATTCTTTCAATGTGAAAACCCCACACACATTCCCAGGTTAAATATGAAGCTGTAAAAGGGATCATGTATGGTGAGGGTGTCATTGTGCTGGAGATATGGCTACACACTCCTAACAAGGCTAGAGATCAGCGGGGGGGAGGGGGGCTGGTGTGTGTGTGTGGTGGGGGATCTAGCAGGGGAGCCGGGGCACAGCCGGTGGTCTCAATGTGAGCATTGTTTCGCTAGTCAGCACTTCGGTAGGTTGCTGAGATATCCCAATTTCTACTAAGAGCTGCTACACAGAGATGGTTCACACACACAAAGATATCACAATCTCTATCTGTAGATGGTTTGAGCCGAGGGGGGATTCTTTCAAGAAACAGGAAAGCTTATTTGGGGAAGGAAGCGTGGTACAATTGAATATCCTGAATAATCATGGAATAAATGCCTTTTGTTTGCTTCTTATTTCACTATTTATTTTGGAGTCAGCATTTTTCTTACTAACTGGTTACTGTGAACTATACAAGATAATTACATGAATGATGTCAATATTGGGCTTTGTTTTGTTTGTTGTTTTTTGAGCTTAGTTTGTTTACTGCTGTCTAGCCAATGAGGCGCAAACCTTGTGAGAATGGTAAGGTTGTGGAAGTTTGGATGTGTTATTTTTTATTATTTTTTTTAACAAAACCAAGCCAAATGATTTATTTGTTTACTGATTACAGCAGAGAAGTCAACGAGGCGTGAGACTTAATTTAATTGTTTTAATTCGTGGACTATTTCTATTTTAAACGTGAGCAATCAAGCATAATATGTAAACAGTCATTTATTAACGGCCGACTGAATGGTGATACTGTTTGTTAATATTTGTTTATTTTTTAAATTGTATTTATTTACTCTTTCCTGAAGGGTGAAGTCAAGGCCTCAGTTAAAAGACCTCAATATCAGCACATTTTCATTCAAATAATCCCCTTGACAATTATTGTTATTTAATTGAAAATAATGTTTAATTAAACTAATACGAACCACCATTAAAGCCAAGCTAAATTGCAGGCATTTGAACTGTAGTGACATTATGTTCCATTACGTAAGGTCTTCAAACAAGGTCTTTACACAATGGTCTTCAAAGAACACCAGTGAACGCCAACCATTAAGGTCTCCAGTCCACCACACATACTAACAACATTTGTAACATCATTAACCATTCCATAACAATAGATCAGGTCAGGTTGAACACGTTACTACAGTTGAAGTTGGAAGTTTACATACACTTAGGTTGGAGTCATTAAAACTCGTTTTTCAATCACTCCACACATTTCTTGTTAACAAACTATAGTTTTGGCAAGTCAGTTAGGACATCTACTTTGTGCATGACACAAGTCCTTTTTCCAACAATTGTTTACAGACAGATTATTTCACTTATAATTCACTGTATCACAATTCCAGTGGGTCAGAAGTTTACATACACTAAGTTGACGGTGCCTTTAAACAGCTTGGAAAATTCCAGAAAACGATGTCATGGCTTTAGAAGCTTCTGATAGGCTAATTGACATCATTTGAGACAATTGGTGGTGTACCTGTGGATGTGTTTCAAGGCCTACCTTCAAACTCAGTGCCTCTTTGCTTGACATCATGGTAAAATCTAAAGAAATCAGCCAAGACCTCAGAAAAAAAATTGTAGACCTCCACAAGTCTGGTTCGTCATTGGGAGCAATTTCCAAATGCCTGAAGGTACCACGTTCATCTGTACAAACAATAGTACGGCAGTATAAACTCCACAAAATAGATGGCATCATGAGGAAGGGAAATTATGTGGATATATTGAAGCAACATCTCAAGACATCAGCCAGGAAGTTAAAGCTTGGTCGCAAATGGCTCTTCCAAATGGACAATGACCCAAAGCGTACTTCCAAAGTTGTGGCAAAATGGCTTAAGGACAACAAAGTCAAAGTATTGGAGTGGCCATCACAAAGCCCTGACCTCAATTCTATAGAAAATGTGTGGGCAGAACTGAAAAAGCAGGTGCGAGCAAGGAGGCCTACAAACCTGACTCAGTTACACCAGCTCTGTCAGGAGGAATGGGCCAAAATTCACCCAACTTATTGTGGGAAGCTTGTGGAAGGCTACCCGAAACGTTTGACCCAAGTTAAACAATTTAAAGCCAATGCTACCAAATACTAATTGAGTGTATGTAAACTTCTGAACCACTGGGAATGTGATGAAATAAATAAAAGCTGAAATAAATAATTCTCTCTACTATTATTCTGACATTTCACATTCTTAAAATAAAGTGTTGATCCTAACTGACCTAAGACAGGGCATTTTTACTAGGATTAAATGTCAGGAATTGTGAAAAACTGAGTTTAAATGTATTTGGCTAAGGTGTATGTAAACTTCTGACTTCAACTGTATGTATGTAGTGTACTGCATGTACTATACAGTCTGTTCCTTCCATACCATATGTGCCATATAAAATATCTGCCAATGAGCATATGTTATTCTGGCCACAGAACATGGTCAATATATTTCTATGTCAATACATGGCAGAGAAAATTTTGAAAAATGCTATTTCAACTGAGCTATGACTTTCATAAGGAACAGAGCTGAATTAAACAGATGCAAGCAGAATGGGTAGAGAGGCAGGAAATCACTCTGACTAATTAGCTAACCCCCACGCTGAGGCTTTGTCTCAAATTGCACCCTATTCCCTATTTAGTGCACTAATTTCAACCAGGGACCTTATGGATATGGTCAAAAGTAGTGCACCATGTAGGGAATAGGGTGCAATTTGGGACACACTGTGTTAGCACTTAATCTGGCAAGTCAGAGAGGAGGGAGAGTGAGAGGGATTTGTACACTGAAATACGTACTGGCTAGAGAGCCAGGCAAGTTCTTCAATCTAGGAAATGCCAAGGAGGAAGAAGGAATAGCTCCAAGGCACCATTGAGAGTAAATAAAGAGAAGGGGAAAGACGGGAGCAGGAGAGAGGGGGGGGGGGGGGGGGGACGACAATATTCATCAGATGTTAAACATTAGGCCCAAATGGCTCTGGCTGCAAGCAAGGCATTGTATTAATGGTAATGGCCATTCTCAAAATGGCTATAAATTGTAGGTCTGGAATACATATTTTACATATTACCTTCTCTCATACCTCAGTAGTTCATCGACAATTACCATCACAAGACAGTGTCTCATACATTAGATGATTATTTGATAAACATATGCATTTCATTCCCTTGGACTCCAATATCAATGCATTTCATTTTTTATTTCACCTTTATTTAACCAGGTAAGCCAGTTGAGAACAAGTTCTCATTTACAACTGCGACCTGGCCACGATAAAGCAAAGCAGTGCGATAAAAACAACAACACAGAGTTACATATGGGGTAAACAAAACATAAAGTCAAAAATACAACAGAAAATATATATGCAATGTGTGCGAATGTAGTAAATTATGGAGGTAAGGCAATAAATAGGCCATAGTGCAAAATAGTTAAAATTTCGTATTAACACTGGAATGATAGATGTGCAAAAGATGATGTGCAAATAGAGATACTGGGGTGCAAATTAGCTAAATAAATAACAATATGGGGATGAGGTAGTTGGGTGGGCTAATTACAGATGGGCTGTGTACAGGTGCAGTGATCGGTAAGCTGCTCTGATAACTGACGCCTAAAGTTAGTGAGGGAGATAAGAGTCTCCAGCTTCAGAGATTTTTGCAGTTCGTTCCAGTCATTGGCAGCAGAGAACTGGAAGGAATGGCGGTCAAAGGAGGTGTTGGCTTTGGGGATGACCAGTGAGATATACCTGCTGGAGCGCAGACTACGGGTGGGTGTTGCTATGGTGACCAGTGAGCTAAGATAAGATGGGGATTTGCCTAGTAGTGATTTATAGATGACCTGGAGCCAGTGGGTTTGGCGACGAATATGTAGTGAGGGCCAGCCAACAAGAGCGTACAGGTCACAATGGTGGGTAGTATATGGGGCTTTGGTGACAAAATGAATGGCACTGTGATAGACTACATCCAATTTGCTGAGTAGAGTGTTGGAGGCTATTTTGTAAATGGCATTGCCGAAGTCAAGGATCGGTAGGATAGTCAGTTTTACGAGGGCATGTTTGGCAGCATGAGAGAAGGATGCTTTGCTGCGAAATAGGAAGCCGATTCTAGATCTAACTTTTGATTGGAGATGCTTAATGTGAGTCTGGAAGGAGAGTTTACAGTCTAACCAGACACCTAGGCAGTGGCGGCTCCTGAAAAAATTCTCAGGAGGGGCAATTTTTCTGATGATTTAGGTGACCTACACACATTTTAAAAAATATATGTCCAGCAACAACATGAAGACAGGGGCAACATATAAGTCAATACCAGAAGCATTTATTGACTGATCTGGGGAGATGGATTCCAGTTTCTGTGACAGATTATAAATAATCTCTGATGCCTTTGTTATATTAGCTTTTGGTTGAATGTACTGTCGTAGTAAATATATAATGTTATAGCTTGGTCTGACTAAAATCTTGTGCATGACCCATTTTGTGTTGGGCCTTTGTATTCAATACAATGAACAAGAGTCCTATCTTGTCAGCCTTGTCAGCAGGTGGCTAAGGATAACACCCACGCCATAGGTCTCTCAGTTCTTCCAACTCACGAGTTCTTGCCCTGAGGACACACACACACACACACCCACACACACACACACACACACACACACACACACACACACATCATCACTGATAAACACACACACACACACACACATCATCACTGATAACAAACACACACACACACACACACACACACACACACACACTGATAACAAACACACACACACACACACAAATCCTCTTCTCTTAGGCTGAACATCTGAAGACAGAGAACCCGACTCAGAGCCAATGCAACAGTGACACTAGCCTGGAGGTGACCTCGCCCAACTCATCAGGACCAATCAGAAGATCAGAACTACTAGATTCAACCTACTTCATTTTATTGTATAAAATGTCAGCACACAATGTTTAGGGGCTCTTCTGATAAACTCCCTACGAGTTTGACGAACGGGTCCGTGCACGCGATTCCAGATATCTTTACCTCTGAATAAACTGCCTTATATTATACAATTATCCACCTTGTCCAAAAGTCTCTACTTGGTCTCCGTTCTCCAGTAAACTTGTTTTATCAACAATAGTAAGGTTCAATGACACAGAAAGCAGTTCAATGTCGGGGTACAGAGTCGCTCTCTTACCAGGATCGCGGTCCGCTCTGACCAGGGTGAAGCCGGCCGGCTCCACCTCTCTGTCCGGGACTCTGTCATCCAGCCAAGTCTCCCAACTGTATTGGGATTCCGCTGCCAGCAGCGTTTTCATTATTTAGTCCGTTCGTAGCGGGTATGTACACGATCAACAAGATCAGTCCAAAACCGAAGATCAGTCCAAAGCAGAATGTTTGCAGAATGTTTGTAAACTAAGTCTACAAATTAAAAACATAAAATAACGCCACACTGCAGGTCGCAACATAGACGCTGCTAGCCGCCATTGTCTTAGTTACGTTCAACGTTACGTCACGTATGACGAAAGCGCGTAAGTGCATGCCCACAGACACCCATAGAGAATGTATTGAAAGCTTTGAAATGTGAAAAAAATAGATTTTACATGACAGGCTATGAGAGACTTCTGGGCGATTTTCAACCTGACTGAAATCGCCCAAAAAACGGGCGGGGCCATTTGAAGCACGACTTTAGCCTGATTTGACATTTAGTGGCTGGCAGATCAGACGTGAACACTGATAACTGCTGTTGCCGTGATATAATTGATTAGAAAAAAAATCCCTTCCTTTTCCCGTTTGGCAGTGCGTCGCCCATATCGCCCTATTGAACAAGCCGTCCCTGCACCTAGGTATTTGTAGTTGTCCACATACTCTAGGTCAGACCCGCCGAGAGTAGTGATTCTAGTCGGGTGGGCGGGTGCAAGCAGCGTTCGGTTGAAGAGCATGCATTTCATTTTACTAGTGTTTAAGAGCAGTTGGAGTCTATGGAAGGAGTGTTGTATTGCGTTGAAGCTTGATTGGAGGTTTGTTAACACAGTGTCCAATGAAAGGCCAGATGTATACAAAATGGTGTCGTCCGCATAGAGGTGGATCCGAGCGTCACCAGCAGCAAGAGCAACATCATTGATATACACAGAGAATAGAGTCGGCCCGAGAATTGAACCCTGTGGCACCCCCATAGAGACTGCCTAATTTTAGAAAGAAAGGGCCCAGATTGTCTAGCCCAGCTGATTTGTAGGGATCCAGATTTTTCAGTTCTTTCAGAACATCAGCTGTCTGAATTTGTGTAAAGGAGAAGCGGGGGGGGCATGGGCAAGTTGCAGCGGAGGGTGCAGAGCTGGTGGCCGGGGTAGTGGTAGCCAGGTGGAAAGCATGGCCAGCCGTAGCAAAATGCTTGTTGAAATTCTCGATTATTGTAGATTTATCGGTGGTGACAATGTTTCCTAGCCTCAGTGCAGTGGGCAGCTGGGAGGAGGTGCTCTTATTCTCCACGGACTTTACAGTGTCCCAAAACTTTTTGGAGTTAGTGCTACAGGATGCAAATTTCTGTTTGAAAAAGCTAGCCTTTGCTTTCCTAACTGATTGTGTATATTGGTTCCTGACTTCCCTGAAAAGTTGCATATCGCAGGTGCTGTTCGATGCTAATGCAGTACGCCACAGGATGTTTTTGTGCTGGTCAAGTGCAGTCAAGTCTGAGGAGAACCAAGGGCTATATCTGTCCTTAGTTCTGAATTTTTTGAAGGGGGCATGCTTATTTAAGATTGAGAGGAAAGCCCTTTTAAAGATCAACCAGGCATCCTCTACTGACGGAATGAGGACAATATCCATCCAGGATACCCGGGCCAGGTCAATTAGAAAGGCCTGCCCGCTAAAGTGTTTTAGGGAGCGTTTGACAGTGATGAGGGGTGGTCGTTTGACCGCGGACCCATTATGGACCCATTACGATTATAGGCACAATGTTTAAATGTTTGACTGATGCATCAAGCTTAAATGGGGATATCAAATCTAAGGGTATATAATACACGTTTAACCTTTGTTAAGGTGCTTATGACTGTTTATCGGGGTTCACCTCTGATGGTTTTGCTTTCTCATAAAGTTACTGGAAGCAATCCCGGGCCTACATTTAACGGATGAGGATCTTAAAGGGATTATTCATAATTTCCAGCGCCACCCCAAAATTAACATTTGTGAACATGCCGTGTTTCTATGTTTTGTAGTAAAAACAATAGAGAAAGAAAAGTATTTCCAATGACATCAACCAATTAGTAGACAATTAGTAGGCAATTAGTTGGCAATGCCTACTCACAATTGGTCAAAATCACACGATGCACAACGATGATGTCATTGGAAACAGTTATCTTCCTCCATCTTTTTTTACTACCAAAAATCGAAATAAACCATTGTCACATATGTTGATGTTTGGGTGATAATGTATATGAAGTTGAAAAATTGTGAAGTTTTCCTTTTAAGGGACTTAGGGATTGGTCCTCAAAAGTCCCCATACAGTGCCTTGCAAAAGTATTCATCCCCCTTGGCGTTTTTTCTATTTTGTTGCATTACAACCTGTAATTTAAAATTATTTTTATTTGGATTTCATGTAATGGACATACACAAAATAGTCCAAATTGGTGAAGTGAAATGAAAAAAAGGCCATTGCTTAAAGACAAAATATGCAAACACGTTTGGTGTTCACCAAAAGGCATGGTGGAGACTCCCCAAACATATGGAAGAAGGTACTCTGGTCAGATGAGACTAAAATTGAGCTTTTTGGCCATCAAGGAAAACGCTATGTCTGGCGCAAACCCAACACCTCTCATCACCCTGAGAACACCATCCCCACAGTGAAGCATGGTGGTGGTAGCATCATGCTGTGGGGATGTTTTTCATCAGCAGGGACTGGGGAAACTGGTCAGATTTGAAGAAATGATGGATGGCGCTAAATACAGGTAAATTGTTGAGGGAAACCTGTTTCAGTCTTCCAGAGAATTGAGACTGGGACGGAGGTTCACCTTCCAGCAGGACAATGACCCTAAGCATACTGCTAAAGCAACACTCGAGTGGTTTATGGGGGAAAATGTAAATGTCTTGGAATGGCCTAGTCAAAGCCCAGACCTCAATCCAATTGAGAATCTGTGGTAAAGATTGCTGTACACCAGCAGAACCCATCCAACTTGAAGGAGCTGGAGCAGTTTAGCCTTGAAGAATGGGCAAAAATCCCAGTAGCTAGATGTGCCAAGCTTATAGAGACATATCCCAAGAGACTTGCAGCTGCAATTGCTGCAAAAGGTGGCTCTACAAAGTATTGACTTTAGGGGGGTGAATAGTTATGCACGCTCAAGTTTTCTGTTTTTTTGGTCTTATTTCTTGTTTGTTTCACAAGAAAAAATATTTTGCATCTTCAAAGTGGTAGGCATGTTGTGTAAATCAAATGATACAAACCCCAAAAACATCCATTAAAATTCTAGGTTGTAAGGCAACAAAATAGGAAAGATGCCAAGGTGGGTGAATACTTTCGCAAGCCACTGTATTGTAACAGAAAATCCTAATGTAGGACCACCTATAGGACTCTATGAAGTATATGGAGCATAGAGCATATGGCACTATACAATGCATTCGGAAAGTATTCAGACCCCTTGCCTTTTTCCACATTTTGTTACTTTACAGCCTTATTATGAAACTGATTTTTAATCCTCATCTATCTACACAAAATACCCCACAATGACAAAGCAAAAACAGGTTTTTAGAAATTTTTGCAAATGTATTACAAATAAAAACCGGAAATATCACATTTACATAAGTATTCAGACCATTTATTCAGTACTTTGTTGAAGCACCATTGGCAGCGATTATATCCTTGAGTCTTCTTGGGTATGACGGCAGGTAGCTTAGTGGTTAAGAGCGTTGTGCCAGTAACTGAAAGGTTGCTGGTTCTAATCCCCGAGCCGACTAGGTGAAAAATCTATCTGTGCCCTTGAGCAAGGCACTTAACCCTAAATACTCCTGTAAGTCGCTCTGGATAAGAGCGTCTGCTAAATGACTAAAATATAAATATAAATGACGCTACAAGCTTGGCACACCTGTATTTGGGGACTTTCTCCCACTCTTCTCTGCAGATCCTCTCAAGCTCTGTCAGGTTGGATGGGGATGGTCGCTGCACAAGTATTTTCAGGTCTCTCCAGAGATGTTCGATCGGGTTCAAGTCTGGGCTCTGGCTGGGCCACTCAAGGACATTCAGAGACTTGTCCCGAAGCCACTCCTGCGCTGTCTTGGCTGTGTGCTTAGGGTCGTTGTCCTGTTGAAAGGTGAACCTTCGCCCCAGTCTGAGGTCCTTAGCACTCTGGAGCAGGTTTTCATCAAGGATCTCTCTGTACTTTGCACCGTTCATCTTTCTCTTGATCCTGACTAGTCTCCCAGTCCCTATTTTTTTCCAGATGTGATGCTTGGCACTCAGGCCAAAGAGTTCAAACTTGGTTTCATCAGACCAGAGAATCTTGTTATTCATGGTCTGAGAATCCTTTAGGTGCCTTTTGGCAAACTCCAAGCGGGCTGTCATGTGCCTTTTACTGAGGAATGGCTTCCGTCTGGCCACTCTACCATAAAGGCCTGATTGGTAGAGTGCTGTAGAGATGGTTGTCCTTCTGGAAGGTTCTCCCATCTCCAGAGAGGGACTCCCTGACCAAGGCCCTTCTCCCCCGACTACTCAGTTTGGCCAGTTCTTGGAAGAGTCTTGGTGGTTCCAAACTTCTTCCATTTAAGAATCATGGAGGCCACTATGTTCTTGGGGACCTTCACTGCTGCAGACATTTTTTGGTACCCTTCCCCAGATCTGTAACTCGACACAGTCCTGTCTCGGAGCTCTACGGACAATTTTTTCGACCTCATGGCTTGGTTTTTGCTCTGACATGCACTGTCAACTGTGGACCTTATATAGACAGGTGTGTGCCTTTCCAAATCATGTCCAATCAATTGACTTTACCACAGGTGGACTCCAATCAAGTTGTAGAAACATCTCAATGATGATCAATGGAAATAGGATACACCTGAGCTGAATACGTATGTAAATAAGGTATCTGTTTTTAATTTTTAATACATTTGCAAAAAGGTCTAAAAACCTGTTTTCGCTTTGTCAACTCTCTCCCTCTCTGCTCTCTCTCTCCCCCTCCTCCCTCTCTCTTTGTCATATCTGAATATGAGTAATGAGTCAGACAATAGCCTCTCACCATGGTTACGCCACTCACTCACCGGCAGAGAAAATAGTCCCCAACTGATGCCGCCTCACCCCTCACTCTCACCCTCCGCCTGACTCATAACAGCTCACCTTGTTTTGATGTTTGACAGAGGGCAAACTCGACGAAAGACAGAAAGCCTCTGATGACAATAGAGACTGAAAGTAGCTACCAGATACAGTAGTTAAGTGATCTGTGTGTGTGTGTGTGTGTGTGTGTGTGTGTGTGTGTGTGTGTGTGTGTGTGTGTGTGTGTGTGTGTGTGTGTGTGTGTGTGTGTGTGTGTGTGTGTGTGCGTGTGTGTGTGTTTTCTAGAGAGCCGGGCAAGTCCCTCAATCTAGGAAATGCAAATAATGAGGAGGAATAGCTCTAAGGGAAAGGGAAAGACTGGAGTAGGAGAGAGAGAGAGAGAGTGAGTGAGTGAGGAAGGAAGGGAGGGAGGGAGGAAGGTAATTTACCTGACGACTCAAACTGAATTATTCCGCTGCTCTATGTTCACTACATACTTCAGTCTGAGACTGCCATCATTTAAGTCATTTGTGGTGACATCCAAATAAGGGGTGTTGTACAAAACAAAGTCATCAGTGATTGGATCATTTCTGGCGCTGGCCCAACCCATCGGTTTCTGGGACCAATCAGAACGGTTAGAATTTGTTTGCATTCAAGAAATCGTTGGAGAGGTACTCATTGCGGAGAAGAAACTAACGTCTGTGGGCGTGGCGTAGCATTTGGCCAGAGTAAGGGTAGCCAAGGAGAGAGTGAGCGATTGAGAGAAAGAAAGATTGATAGAACGAGGGTGCAGGTTTTTATTTATCTAACCAGGCAAGTCAGTTAAGAACAAATTCTTATTTACAATGACAGCCTACCCCGGCCAAACCCGGACGACGTTAGTCCAATTGTGCACCGCCTTACGGGACTCCCAATCACAGCCAGATTGTGATACAGCCTGGAATCAAACCAGGGTCTGTTGAGATGCCTCTAGCACTGAAATGCAGTGCCTTAGACCGCTGCGCCACTCGGGAGCCCAGGTACAGTACCAATCAAAAGTTGACACATCTACTCATTCAAGCATTCCAGATGAAGCTGGTTGAGAGAATGCCAAGACAGTGCAAAGCTGTCATCAAGGCAAAGGGTGGCTACTTTGAAGAATCTCAAATATAAAAATATATTTTGATTTGTTTAACACTTTCTTGGTTATTACATGATTCCATATGTGTTATTTCATAGTTTTGATCTCTGCACTATTATTCTACAATGTAGAAAATAGTAAAAAATAAAGAAAAACCCTGGAATGAGTAGGTGTGTCCAAACTTTTGACTGGTACTGTATATTACACCTGTATGCTGTATACACTGAGTGTACAAACACCTGCTCTTTCCATGACATAGACTGACCAGGTGAATCCAGGTAAAAGCTATGATCCCTTATTGATGTTACCTGTTAAATCCACTTCAATCAGTGTAGATGAAGTGGAGGAGACAGGTTAAAGAAGGACAATAAAGACATGGATTTTGTTTGTATGCCATTCAGAGGGTGAATGGGCAAGACAAAATATTTAAGTGCCTTTGAACGGGGTATGATAGTTCAACTCAATATTAGGAAGATGTTCTTAATGTTTTGTACACTCAGTGTATATGCATGGCCAGTTGCATCTTATAACTACAGCCAAACACCTCCCAAGGTACACTAAGTACCTCCTCTGAAAAAAAAGACACATTAATTATTTATCAGATGTGAAACATTAGGCCCAAATTGCTCTGGCTGCAAGCAAGGCATTTTATTAATGGTAATGGTCATTCTCAAAATGGCTATAAATCGCAGGCATGGAATATATATTTTACATATTACCATCTCTTGCCTCAGCAGTTCATCGGTAATTACCATCATCAGACAGCGTCTCATAAATTAGATGGTTATTTATTCTTAAAACATATGCACTTCATTCCCTTGGACTCGAATCTTGATGATTCATCACCACATTTTTTATACATTTGATGCCTTGACCGAAAATAGGGGATATCAAATCCCTGAGTCATGGAGAAAAGGAATTAGTCAAATCCTCGGTCTAAGGGTATATAATTCACGTTTAACCTTTGTTAAGGTGCTTATGACTGTTTATCGGGGATCACCTCTGTTGGTTTGCTTTCTCATAAAGTTATTGGAAGGAATCCCGGGCCTACATTTAATGGATGAGGAGCTTAAGGGACTTAGGGATTCGTCCTCAAAAGTCCCCAAACTGCACCGGAAAATCCTCATGTAGGGCCACCTGAGCCACATATACAGTAGGACTCTATGAAGAATATGGAGTATATTAAGTGTATGGCACTATATATGGAGATTATTGAGTATACAGTATGGCACTATATATGGAGTATATGGAGTATGGTTCCATATACAGCAATATGGAGTAGATTGAGTATATGGCTCTAGTCTCAGCCACAGAAACTCAATTTATTCAAATAAAGCAAATCGTTGAGGAAGTTATGAACACTTGACTTTGCCACTCGTCTAAACTCCAATATATTACATAGAATCACTCATAGTTGAGAGCTATCATAAGTTTAAATCCACTGATATGTCTCTCTCTCTCTCTCTCTCTCTCTCTCTCTCTCTCTCTCTCTCTCTCTCTCTCTCTCTCTCTCTCTCTCATGAGTCAGACATTATCCTCTCGCCATGGTAACCCCACTCACTCAACTGCAGAGTAAATAGTCCCCAACTGATGCCGCCTTACACCTCACTTTCGCACCACCGCCTGACTCATAACAGTTCGTCTTGTTTTGATGTCTGCTAGAGGGCAAAACTTACGCGAGACAGAAAGCCTCTGATGACAGAAGAGACTGTAGCTAGCTACCAGATACAGTAGTTAAGTGATCTCTGTGTGTATGTGTGCGTGTGTGTCAGTCAGTAGTTCAGTGATCCCCCCTCCCTCTCCTCTTACCTTCTGGTCGTGGCTGTAGGCAAGGATCCAGTCCTCCTGCTCGGGGTGGAAGAGCAGGCTGAGGATGTAGAAGCTGAGGCGGTACTTCTGATAGGTTGCTCCCTCATCGGAGCTGATCAGCAGGCTGCTTTCCACCTCCGGGTCAGTCAGAAGCATGATCTGAATGAGAGCAGACAGAAATAGAATCAGAGCTAGCCATGGAGGGAGCTGCTGCTGTACAGAAGCAGGGAGAGGTGCTGGAAGACTGGTGGATGGGAGGTATTAGTTTGAATCAGTGTTGGATAAAGATATAAGGATGGGTGTGCTGTATTCATATTTCACGCAGTAAAACATAGTTAAAGCAGATGAGGAATCCCTCACAATGACACCGCATAGTACGGCATCCATATTAGGAACTCCCTCCGTTGTCGTACAAATCTGAGATTTAAATGGTATATATTTTGGTAATCCATGCAGTGAAGGCTCCTCAGAGGAGGAAGGGGAGGACCATCCTCCTCAGTGAATTTCATTAAAAAAATTGGTAAAACTATACTAAATATACTCACATATCACCAAATAATGCATTAAAACAGACTGTTTTGCAATGAAGGTCTACAGCACCCTCAACAGCACTCTGTAGGGTAGCACCATGGTGTAGCTGGTGGACAGCTAGTTTCCTTCATCCTCTGGGTACAATGACTTCAATACAAAATCTAGGAGGCTCATGGTTCTCACCCCGTTCCATAGACTTACACAGTAGTTATGACAACTTCCGAAGGACGTCCGCCAACCTATCAGAGCTATTGCAGCATGAACTGACATGTTGTTCATGGATCAGATAATGATCTAGTACTGAAAGCATAAGCTACAGCTAGCTAGCACTGCAGTGCATGAAATGTGGTGAGTAGTTGACTCAAAGAGAGAGAAAGACAATAGTTGAACAGTTTTTAACAAATTAATTTCTTTAAAAATGAAGGAGAAGCAAGAGAGATTGAGAGCTAGCTATATTTTGCTGTATTTTTTTTCACTTTCACTTAGCTAGCCTATGCAGCTATCTAGTTTAGCCTACTCAAACACCCGGCTCAAACAGAGAGGGATGCTATGTTAGCTAGCTGGCTATGGCAATCCAACACTGGAACTCTTCCAAGTCAAGGTAAGCTTTTGGTTTTATTAATGTATTGTTACCGGGGCCCGCCGGTGTAACTGCTAAACTGCTTGCTGACTGTACACTGTACTGCGTGATTGTAGCGGGTTTACTAACACGTTAGTTCTAGTAGCTATGTTGACTATGACGTTAGCTAATATGGTGACAATGATGTAGGCTCTATGTAGCGGTTAGCCTTTATGATATGAAGGTTTGGCTTGGAAAGGTTTTTTCGCCTGGTCACAGACAGCTGATGTGTTGTGCACTGAAGTCCACAAGCGAAGGGAAAAGGTGAGAGGAGGAGAGCATGTAGATGCGAGAAGGAATTACACAACGAGCAAAATGATCATGCTGTTTGTATGTGGCCGCTATGAAAGTAAACTGTGTTTGCATGTGATCAGGGGCGTATTCTTTCCACCGATTATGTTGAAAAACATTTCTTAAACAGAAGCAAACAGAACGAAACAGGGATAAACATACCTTAATTTGTCCAATAGAAACTCTAGTTTGCAACTGTTGGACTAATGATTACACCCTAGATCAGCTAGATGCAGGCAAGAGTGTGCAAGGTATTGAATGTGTCACTGTCTCTCACCTTGATTATTCCAATTTTTCTCTCGACCTGTGCAACTAAGTTGTACACTTTCATTCATAGATTAAGTTGTAGTAACCTCAAAATGGGTATAGGGACAATTCTAGTATCATGCCTAAACCTATCGATGTTACATTGAGCTGGGTGAATGGAATATGAATGACAGTCAATAAGGCCATGCTTAAAAAAATTAAAATAATCCTCCCTCATATTAAACGTTACCGACTGCCACTGAATCCATGTGATGGGCAGTTTGAGAGTTTGAAGTTGCATGATTGAAAAAACTAACCCTAAGATTATTAGATTAGATGATATGATTATAAAGTCTACATTTAATAACAGATATAATGTCACTAATTTGCGGATTCTAAATTGGCGTCTTTAGACTTGCCTCACTGTTATCTCCCGCTTCTTAGATATCTCAATTACAAACCTGTGTTCCGCTCTGCTAAATCCTAATTATTGTTGTACAGACAGTCTTTTAAGACACCCTTTGCCTATCTTGTAGCGAGTGTGTATGGGTAATGCATTCAGATTTCTCTCCCTCTCTCTTTCTTCTCCTCTCTGTTCAGTCCGCCTTTGAAAGCTCTAATTTCCCACAAGCTTTGTTCTTTTCTTGGAATTTCACAATGTTTTCCCTGTGAATGTGCCAAGTGAGAAAAAAACATATATCAAAAGATATAATCAGCAGCAAATATAATTGAATCAGTCATCCTGAACACTTACATAACCCCTTATCAGTAGCACAGTGGGAAGGAAGAAGAGTGTGTGTGTGTGCGTGTGCATGTGTGTGTGTGTGTTTCTCGAGTCACTATGTTAATAAAACCATGAACTGATCGGCACTTATTATCCTAACTCATCCATCCCAGTAGTGCCCACAATTTCAAGTCAAACAACGACTCTGAAATCTCCAGAGTTTCAGTGTCAAGATATTATGCAACCGTCAAACCGTTGAAGTCTATGAGTCTCCTCACACCATCATCTCACGTCATTCAAACTTCAGGGGCGTTCACCCCATAGAAATAAAATAACTTGAACATTGACTTGAATGACGATATTCGTTCTAGGGATTCTATTTCTATAGTTCACCCTTCCCCAGCCAGACCACTGATCACATTACGCTAGCAAATTGTAATGAATGACATCAGTCGTGCAGGGATCACACCTATGGAACCATGCTGACTGGGTTATAGAGGATAGAGGAAAGGCTAACAGAGTAGGGAGACACCATCTTCAACCAACAACCCAAGGTGATTTTAACAGGTTCAGCTGTGTCACATGACACAGTTATCACTCTTTCTCGGCATTCCCCATTTGACAAAGCTCCTACGTTTCCCTGATTACCATCAATAGGGGTGGATTTGGGAATTGAGCATGAGCTAAAAATGCCCAATACACTTCCAGCAGGCACCATTGGCCATATAACATAGAGTCTCAGCCGTGGCTGCTCAAACTTGCTAAGTCTTTTGTCAAACTATGCATGGTAATGGTAGCTATAGTGGGCCGACCCCAAACACAAGTTCATAATCACAGTGTGCTAGCTAGCGTAGCGCCATACGTGATCCACATGTTGACCAATCCAATCAAATCCAACACAGTTTATTTTTACATTCCATACGCAATTAACACTTTGTAACAGACAGTGTTTTAACTCTGGGCACTATTAAAACGTTGTCTGCTCCTATAAATATGGAAACAACACCCTATTGTGATACAGCCCTATTCTAGCCTATGTAGGCTAATGCTGCTATTGTGAAGGGAGGATTATTAGTGGTTTCATCAATTCAGGAACACTCACATGATGGCTTATTTCAATAATTTGTTGTTGGAATATAGAAATCGATATATCCTAGTGCGACGTGAAAATGGGTTATGAAGATTCTGGTGAGCTTCTCGGGGATGTGGTTGTATATCTGATTAGTTCCACTTATAACCTTCAGATGAGAGAGAAATGAAGGGAAGAGTTGGACAGATGTGGCAGTGAGGGAATGAATCCTGTAGGAGTTGTGTTGAATACTATATTCCGCTTCATAAAATGACATTAACCATGAGCGGTAACCAGGGCAATGAAGATGCCAAGCATTCAGCTGTTGTACTTTTATCTAAATACTCATCTTTACTTAATATGGATAATAAAGGTCAAGCCTTTAGACTTATGTCATCACGGAGCTACACCTTGTCATTTCACACATTTATATAAAACTGTATAAAAATGTCAACATCCTCATCATGCAAAATTACATGACTGTTTGTTTAGACATAGCTGTATCTTTAGTTACGCTATCTCTGAGCTTTACCTTGTAATTTAACAGATTGATATAAAACTGCATAGAAATGTCAACATCCTCATCACACAACATGACATTACTGTAATAATAATAATATGCAATTTAGCAGACGCTTTTATCCAAAGCGATTTACAGTCATGCGTGCATACATTTTTGTGTATGGGTGGTCCCGGGATCGAACCCACTACCTTGGCGTTACAAGCGCCGTGCTCTACCAGCTGAGCTACAGAGGACCACTGTGTCACGTTTAGACAGGAAATGACAGACTGAAGATGTTTTGAATTAATCAACTTTTCCAATGGTAATTTCAAGAAACCATCGCAAACATTGCGTAACGTTATGCCGCCCAATTAAATCCTTATCTTTTTGCTTAACGAACGGAGTTCTATAAATAAAAGGAGAAATACTGAAAAATCATGCTGACCCTGAAACTTTCTCCATCAGAGTTCCATGCTAATCCACACATAAACTCTCGCATTTTGTTAATTTCTACACTTCACACTTTCCCCTGATGAACACACACACACACGGGGGAAAGAGAGGGCATGCCTGGAATGGCTACCATTGTGTGTGTGTGTGTGTGTGTGTGTGTGTGTGTGCACTCCAGTGTGTGTATATGTACGTGTGTGTTTAGTTTATGAGGCCAAAGAGGTTCAAAATGACCAAAGGATAATGAAGCAGCCACCAACTGCAAGACGTTTAAGAAGTGTGAGAGGAATAACACAGTGAGTTAATAGCCGTGCAGCAGTAAATACTCAGTGATAGAATATTAATGAAATTAGGCCCATATTTTCCATTTCACCCCAGTCACAGTAATTGGATTGTGAAGCCTCGCTCTAAATCCAAGTGTAACACAGTCGGTGCCCCAGCGACAAATCTACTCTCTCTGCACTATAGGAAGTTCAAATGGCAAGATTTCAAGGAAACTTATGGAGAGTAGAGCAAAAGTAGTACTCGCTAAATTGGAGCTTCCTAAGAACCCACCCCCACTTTTAGGCTGACATGTTGCTACTAGTTTGACTACCCAGACATGATTATGAGATGTTACTCCCTGTAAACCAGCAGCAGGTGCATTTGTTGTTGAATGGAGAACAAGAGGAGTTGCGTGTTCACTCATGTCATCCCATGGACTGTCGGTGACCAGTAAGTGAACTCC